TGTTTACTAACGCATAATCAAGTTCCTCTGGTCGATAGTTAAAACTCATAATACGAATGTATAACTCCACTGCATTACAATTATTGTAAGTGGGTATATTGCTGAATTGTAGCAATTTTGTAACATAGTATTTCATCCGAAAATATAGATTTTTAAAGAGTAATTTAGATATAGTATTTATACAATTTTTAACAATATAATATAGTAAAATTTTATTTTAATATGCGCAATGTCTGTGGGGGCTTATATATTAAAGTTTCATTTTTAATATTTGGAGGGTGGAATCGCAGTTTTTACACCACCTATCACCGTTGTATCTCTACACGCATCGACCATCTATAAACGAAACCGACCGTCGAAAAGGGTTAAAATTAGTTTTAATTGGAGGCCGTTGCCACGATGTAAATAAGGGTCGAATGAATGTCTGTGACACAGGACACATGCAGAGTGATTTGATTTTGAATAGGAATTTTTCAAGTAGTAAAGGATAAATTTAAATGCGACTTAACGTCCGTCGCAGTTACGATATACCCATGCCACGTGGCCGACACAACAAACAATAACACAACATTATTGTCAACACAAATCTAAGATTAATTAAATTCTGATTTATCGTCTCAACCAATCTTGTTTTTATCCATTGTCCTGCTATTGAAGTTTCTGGCGTACACGCACATAAATGCATGCGCATATAATATAATATACATAAATATTATAATATATTTTATTGTTTGTCCAGAAACACCATTTTCGTCCTACATAAATCGCGTTTCCGTCCCATCGCGTATTTTTCGTTGTTTTATTGAATGGACTATATATACGGTTATTTTAAGAGAGATAATAATTGACCGTTATCGATTTTATAATAGTTCTACAGTACGTGTTTTTTATGAAATACAATCACTTTAACTAAACGCCTAAAAAATATATTTCGTATTATGAGGCTACAGTTTTAATTCCTCAGCGATGCATTTTCAACTCACGAACAAATTAGTATATTTAAAAAGCTAAACGAACTCATTCGTAGTTAATGCATGACTCTGATTCACTAATCTATAGATATATGAATGGTTTGATATAAATTGAATTAAAACACCATATTACATATTTTTTATATGAAATAAATATCTTAAGTCAATACAATTAGATAAATATAAAGTGTTGAATGTTATTAAATAAATAAATAGTTTACTTATTTTTTTTTGTAAATTTAAATTAATTATACATGGGTACTAATTACCATTCTCACAAGAGTGCCAGATCACCTCAATTCATATACCTATCTGTATAATTAATAGTCACACAATTTTCATTTTTTACAACACAAATACGCATTATAAAATTTTAATTAGGTAGGTAGGTACATCTAACAGTGACGAAGGAATAAAATATTAAATTTTAATATTTCAAACATAAAATCAAGCTTAAGACACACATTTTGTCAAAGTATATTTCATATAAATAATACTTAATATGGTTACCATGATTTGTGAAATAGAACTTTTTCAATTTTAGTTACAGTTGAATATAACAATAATATCTTGCACAGAACGTTTAGGGTTGTGTTAAATTGTAAGGTCTTAAAAATTATAATAAATCGCAAATTGAGTAATATAAATCCAAAAATAAAACATTACATTAAAAATAACTGTTTTTATAAAATATAACTTATTCAATGGGTACCTACTTATATATCGAACCTTCAATAAGCAATTACATGATTGAAAAATGATATAATTGTGTGCACTGTGTGATAGTTATGAAACCATTTCATTGTACATTACTTTACGTTACCTACTTATATTAATAATAATAATAATAACTTTTATAAATTAAATTTGAATATTAAACTGTGCATTATCCAGCTGTGTAGTACTCAATAAGCTTTGGTTGAATATGCAGGTATCGCTCTCAATCTCAATAAGCGGAAAATGAAAAGTTATACCTACACTTTCGGTGGATTATGACCTACATAATATTAGCCACAATAAATTTCTCTAAACAGTCACTTTATATGCGTTCTATAAATAAAGTGAATGGTTCAATGTTAGTTTCAAATACACTTCAGTGGGATTCTGTAATATAACGGAACTAAAACACAATGGTAGGATTATGTAATAACAGCGAGGCATATGTTCAAGTATACCAGGTAATGTAGGAGTTAACCATCTATTAGGCAATTGTTTTAGTCAAGTGATATTACTATTTAACTATGTGTATACTTTCCGATGGACTCTGAAAAAAGGATATTTATTTTTGAACAAATAAACGGAGTGTAACGCTTGGTTTTTCAAATTGACTTTTATAAATTAAATTTATAATATATTCAGTTTACATTTAAAATATATTATGCGTTAGTTGTTTGAAGAAAAAGTTACGTTTTTATTTAGGAAATATAATTTAAAATACATATTAATTGATGCCATTCACTTTTGAATAAATATAGGTAATAAAGTGTATCTCTATGTTCATAATTAATATAAATATATAATATTTTATTATTTTAAGCTTCTATAAAAATACAGTTTTCTTTCGATTTAGATTTTTCAAAACTTATAGTACCTACTTTAATTTTTTTCTTAAAAATAAAATGAGCTAATACTTTTATCATACAGTTTAGTTTCTTATTAATAACAAACGATTAGAACAGTATTAAGATATATACCTGCACGGACTACACTATAAACATATTATTTTTCTTTTTCGATTCTCCTCGTTGTACTCTTGATGATGGTTTTGTCCCGTGATAATTTATTAATTTATTTTTTACAAACTCAAATGAACTCATGCACCTATATATACATTTTATATGAAAAAATTATTTTACAATATGTATAATCCGGAATAAGTTCGCATTTACCACTTATACATTTCATCATTGGTGCGAGATTGTATAATGTTGACAAAAGAGGTGTCGAGGGAAATTGAAAAACGGTATCACGATAACAATGGATATCGCGAGGGAAAAAATAAGAGAAGTTGCTTCGTCACCGATATAGTATAGTACTATAGTATATATAATATATATATATATATATAGTACATTGGGTGTTTTCAAAATGTATTTCAAGGAGGACGGGAGGTGAGGTGCGCGAGTTAATCAGATTTAAATTGAATCGCATGTACCCAGAAAATTGATATTCCACTGCGGTTGACACGTCTATTTGCCCCGAAGGGTAGGGCCTGTGGATACTCTTTGACAAGTCTGCTGTGGTGTAATTGGAACATCCAGTTCGTAGACCGCGCCGCAAGGTAGAAACCTTATTAATTTGGCAGATAACACCTCTGGTTTTTCCACCCTGTCACTATCAATTTTCCCTTTAGCAAACGTGTAAAGTCGCGCCCCCTTTTCCTTTCACGCGCGGCACCATTACAGTAATATATAATAATACTGTTAAACAGAATAATATCTGCTGGTTCGGTTTAACCACTTAGGTACTTACTATAAATTATAAAGAAAATACACTTAAATAACGAATATATTGGTCGAAGAACGATTTTTGTTTATAAATTAAATACTATATTCTTATAATAATATATTAGGTATATTATATAAATAGTGTTTTTAGAAAAAAAAAAATTAACAATAATAATTATTATATCTAAACCATTATACAGAAAAAAATTAAATGTAGATGATAAACATTTAAATTTCTAAATCTATATGTGAAGGATGATGACGTGTAGAACGGCTTTATATTCATGTTTCAAACATATATGTGTCATTGATAGAGGAAAAAAGATCAGTAGGTACATATACATAAGAGAATTTGGAACCGGAAATAATGTATAATAAGTATATCAAAATGTGGTTAAACATAAATAAATAATATTTAAATGGTAAGATGTAAGTAAAACAAATTTATTTTTTTATCACAGATTCTATTTTTAAGGGGAAATAGTCACCGATTACAAGTAACGAATTTCTGGTTAGATACACTATACTGCGTATTGGATCAACTGGACCAATTTTTTCTGTGGTTGTACCTGCTTGTTGAGGCCACACACTAAAAACAGTTAAACAGTTCAGGCCAGCCCGGTCCGAAATCTCCGGTTTCGGACTACCGCCCCCTGCAGTGGCTTGGTGGATTGAACTGTCTACCCCACATACCCCTCAATTTTGGATTACAGTCTGATTCGGTGGTCCTAGAACCACGGTATATACTCGGTAGTGCACTAGTGCATGGGGGCACCTTTAGTATTTATATAGGATTTAATTTTAGGCGAGATCACGACTCAAATGTTTGGGTAAATGTGTGTATTTTGATTTGGCTTTTGTTATAACTTTTTAAATATTATGCGATTTCCCAATAATCAACATGAATTTCTTACTTGTTAAGAATACATACAATTATAAATTTATTGAAGTGCAGAATGCAAACCTCACGGTTTCATTATAAACAAGAACATAATAATTATACACCAAAAAATTAAAAGTGCCTATCGATCTAAAATAATATGGTTTTAATTATAAAAATGAGTTTGAGCATGCTGTTAAATCCCTCTGTAATATTCTCGTATTTATAATTAACTGGCACAATTTGTATTAAAATTTATTCCAGACATAGTAAGCATGTAAAATCTCGTCTCCGAGGAAATGGTGAGCTAGGATTAAACTATAATTTATTTGTCTTTAATCTCCAGGTATTGTCTGTGTAACGAATCAATTATAATTTAATATAACTTTCGTACTATGATGTCTTCTATTACAATAAATCCCATGAATTTGAATAAGGGACGTGCGGGCTGCTATTACGCTGCAAGTCCATTGACTAAGCCGTACTTTTCGATGCCAAATATAATTTTTATGACATCTGAAACTGCTGAAACGAAAATTCAAGCGCCGTCCGCCACGACATGTCCCAACTAAGTCGAAAACCCTGATCGAACTCGATGTAGAGGTGCCGATCACTTGTGTGCATCTGCAGGACACTGATGCTGCAATAACGGACCAGGTGGTAACCACGAACACGGTCAATTCTAGGTGCAGATCTTTTACCATGTTTTCAACAATTACATTGAACGACATGGATTTGGACGTGGCCAAGAGTCTTGCGAGCTATTTCGCTGCAATAAGTCGACTGACCAAAGTCTATTTTTTCATGCCAAATATTATGTCGATGACACTCGAAAAGGCAATCCAAGTGCCGTCCCCCACGATTAGTCCCAATGGAGATGAAAACCCTGACCGAACTCAATGTATCGATGCCGGTCACTTGTGTGAAACTGCAGGATATAGATGCTGCAATAACGGACAAGGTGGTAACCACAAACACGGTCAAACCTATAAAAGCCGATCATTTCGGAAAAGTACTAAAAAAAACTTCAGGCGATTATTGTGCTGCAATTAGTTCCGAGCAATTGCTGTTGTGCCATTGTGGATGCTGCTATAATATAGTTTAATATACCGTTTTATAGGTACAATCTACAACTATAATTTATTTTTAATTATCTCGATGCTCTGATTGTAATTGTACATACAAATTAAATTAAATAGGTACCTACTGTAAATTGTATTAATTTAGCACAAATATGTATTTTTATTGAATAATTCAGTTGGTTTCTATTTTATGTATTATTAGTAAACGCCCAAACGCCATGTAATTTATAGCGTGTGAAAATATTGTGACTAGTAATTTCTGTTTTCTTGTAACTGCTTTAAAAAAAATTTATATGAGTGACCTGCTTTTTGACTGAGGAACAAAAATTGTTATTTTACTGTCCATTTTATACATTTTTATTTATAAAATAGTTTTAAAATGTTCATGATTTAGATGAATTTCAACAACTTATGAGGAATTTTGTGCTACAATTTTGAGCTTATTTATCCACATGAAAAGTTTTCATCGAAATGTATGGATAAAAAAAACAAAAGAAAGGTGGGCAGTAGGTACAGTAGGTAACAAGTGGGTCACTGTAATGGATGATGTTAAATTTGAATTCAATTATATAATATCATTGTGTAAGTAAAACAATTTTGAGCGAAGACGGTCAGTGAGCCTATGATATTACTAAGTTCCTATATTTGATGATATTATTGTGAACAAAGTAATTTATATATAACCTATTTACGTGGAACCATGTTTCAAATGTTCAATCCACTTGCTATAAAATTTGAACATTTTATACATTTTTAACTACAAAATAATTATTAAATTTTAAATTTAATAAATGTTGTTAATATTCGAACTTTAAATGCTTATAAAAAAATATTGAGCCTATGTATTTTTAATATTTCTCAACTGCTATTGTAACAATATATTAGGAGCCTTGTATTAAATGTTCAGGCTTTTTTTACCCAAAAAATAAAGTTTTATTGACATTCATAGAAAAAAAGACTAATACAATTGGAAACTGAAAATTTCCTTAAACAGGTCAAAACAAATCGGTCAGAATCGTTTTTCGTATGCAATGATTTTATTTTTATATCATTGAACTCAAATTATTTAACACATTCATTACAGTGACACTCTAGACATCTAAATATAACAGAGCGTTACCCACTTACTCGCTTTTTTGTTATGTTTGAAGAATGTTAAAGCCCTGAAGCTGCAGTAACCTAATTTTGAGTAAAATGGATGTTTATTATATGTTAAAACTCATAATATAACCACCTACCATGTTCAGACGTTTCCTGGTTAACAACACCTCATATAGGTAACCATTATTTTGTAAACATAAGTATTGTATTACTTTATTTTTTAAATCGTTTACAATTATATTAAAATAACGTCAAGTTTTTATTTTTCTTTGTTTTTAACTAATGTCAGGCGTCGGCATTGAACATTTTAGTTTAAATAACATATAGTGTCATATACAGCATTACAGCGCTTACTTGGTTTTTAGTCTTAGACGAATCGGGATAGACACTTTTGACATACCCGTACGCAGACATTATATTGTCAGGGTAGTCGCATAATTTTTAAATATTCAGGTTTAATCTTTGCTACTTTATTATTTAAACTTTAAAGTTCTATTCTGAAAACTATTCTGCTGAAGTTGAGTAGTCGAGGTGGTAACAGTACTTCATTCACATTTATGATCAAACACTGACGTTACCAGGTCACCTAGTTAGGTTCAGTAGGAGGGAGCCTAGCCCCCGATTAAGATTTAGCACCCCCCTCCCATAAATATTATTTATTGATATAGATATAAGCAGTCTATGAGTTATTTTAAATTAATGGTTTTGTTAGGTGGGCTGTAGCATTCATAGAATTATAACCAGGGCTAGGATTTGTATGCAACAGCATGTTTTTTTTGTGACTTCTAATTATTGATTTTGTCAGTAATGTCCACGAATCACCTCATGATGAGATAAATGGTGGTGTTTTTATTTTGCATGTTTTTGCATATTTTGGATAAAATGCATATTAATGCATATATCGAATAAAATGAATAATATTGCATATTTCGATTATAAAAATGCGAAAAATGCATGTTTTATAGTATATTTTGTAATTAATATTTATAATTTAATATTAATATTTCGTATTTAATTCTAGCTCTGCTGATTAAAGTATAAAACTTGGTTTTTTTTGTCAAACACTAATTTTATTTTTATAAATACAATCCTATGGTACAATAGGTATGCGATTAAAGATTAAATAGTTTGACGGAAAAAGATAAACACAAAGTTTGTCGGTCAATATAAAATCTAAGATAAGATATAATTTGTCCGGTATTATAGTGTATTACACACAATCCCACGTAGTAGTGTAGTACAGACCGTTCAGCTGTGCGCGCATCACCGTTTATTAGTATTGTGTAAAATTATTGTGATTTTTATTTACAGCCAACCTGTATTTCAATAAATAAATATTTTTTTTGTAACTATATTTTTGTGTTTATCTTATAAAAATTAAAATGCATATTTTTGCATATTTTGGTAAATAAAATGCATATTTTACAATTTTTTATTGCATACAAATCCTAGCCCTGATTATAACCCTAGTTGCGCCTATATGGCTAGCTGGCTTAGGTACATACGATAATCACTGATATGTATTTTTTCGACTTCAAACGTTAAAGCCTCCACGGTTAATATTATAATTATACCTATATACAATGACATATTAATATGGTTTTATTTTTTATACACATAATATCTATACAATCGTGTTAACCTGGAATTAAGTTCACAGAGTTGTCAACAACCTACCCTGATCACACCCAGTGCTGACGCACTTATGAATACACTTTATAGTTTTAAACTAATTATTCTAAAACACGATATAATATTTATAACCGAATGTATTTCGGAAAATATCATCAACGGCAACCATTGTGTGACGATATAATATTGTGATGACTGATGAAAACCTAAAATTTGAAATGAGCACGTGTCCTCATTATGCATATAATGCAGCTGCCCCGTTCTTTGGCAACGTCACTGAATTATTTTCACTCGACTTTTATTTCGAACAAAACATCCAGATGAATAATACGCACACACTATGATATGTTATATTGAAAACAAACTTTTAAACTCTCAGTATTTGATCATTGATTTTTTCGTTTTGAAAATTTAAATGACGCTTTTTCAATATTTTGTTACACTTTTTTTACAAACTGATATTTGAATGTTTACTATAAAAAAAGGTTTCTGTATCAGTTATCCCGTTTAATAACGTGCCTGTCGTATTTAAGTGTTTTATATATTTGATGATTTGCGACACACTCAAAATGTCGGTGTACGATTACTTGTGTACGACACATAGGTACCTACTGAGCAATAATAACATGATGAGCGGGGTAGCTGTAAGCCAATATAAAAATAACAGCGTTTATTTCGACCAGTGTTACACTCCTGTGGAATTGGATTTCAAATGCGGGACGAACGAACAAAAAAACATCCAATAGTCAATACTACATTTTATTTAAATTTTAAAACAGTTTTTAGACACAGTATAAGCAAACATTTGTATTCGTTAAATAAAAAAAAAATAACGTAGAAATAGTAGAATCCTATAGTAATAATACATAATAATAATAATAATAATAAAATGTTTAAGTGCTACGGCTAAATTCCGAACACATTTATAATAATAATAGGCGCTTAAAATAATATGAAATGTATACATAATATAATATTAATTATATTGAATTTATATTATTATTATTAACAGTTAACATTTCAATACTTTGTGCATTGATATTAAATTATAATGTACGTATAGTTACATGTTATATACACAATACACAAACAATATGGAGTTGAAGAATTAACTGCAAGCGCGTGTATGTGTATAGCATATTAGGTATAATATAAAATAATATGACAGTACATATTATATTTTATATTAGGCATATATAGTTATAATATATTTAATAATAATTATTTGAAAGAATTATCTTATAAACATTTTAAATTATTCAAATACATTTCAATTTAACGCTATAACTTGTTTTCTAATATTTACATACAATCATTCAGTTGATTTTTTTCTCTTTACATTGCATATAATTACACTAAAACTCTAAAAACGATTTTCTTAAAGCAATCGTACCTATATGTAAATATGTAATGCAGTATAGGTACACATAATTATTATAAAAATGTAATAACTTTTGTTAGAAAATGTATGTTACAAAACGAAATATAATTATGAAGGTACTGTAATATATATAAAAGTAGGTACTCGAGGAAGATCCGCACGTGTTGAAATTCAGAAATCGTAATTATTGTTTTTACCCGACACTCGAACAATTCAGCACAAACGCTCGCGTTCACCCCCTACAACAGTTAGTCGTATTTATTACGCCGTCTATACACTTGCGCCGTCCAACAACTTGATTATTTCACAAGTACATAAATATCGTTAAATCAAATAAAACGATAAAATTATAAATAATCCGCATATTGAATGTCCCTAATTACGTTGGATGCGCACTGAGGTCGAAAAGGAGTAGGATGAGCAGCATCAGAAGGAGGAAGAGGTCAATTCCCCGAGGCCCTCCCCTCATATTATATTCACCCTCAAAACATAATTTTTTTTTTTTTCGATTAAAAAAACATACATGCCTGCATAGTTATCATATCGTTGTTCTACGCATTGGTCACGATCGAATTGGTCGGATGGCTGTGCGTGGATGGGTGCGGATGCGGCGCTGCGATGCGTTTCCATCAATCCGAGTACGACGTCTTGTCGGAACCGGGCGACGGTGACCGCGGTGACGTCGCGGCCTGGTTCAGGTGGTGCGACTGGTAAGTCATGGCATGCGGGTGAACGGAGGTGAGGTGATGCAGTTGCGGCTGCAGATAGTGGTGAATCGGCGCGGTGAGAAAACGCGGTGCCTGCTGTTGCTGCTGTTGTTGCTGCTGCTGTTGCTGCTGCTGGTGGTGGTGATGATGGAACGACGTCATCGCCGCCGCGGCCGTGCACACCGTGGCCGCGGCTGCGGACATGGGCGAGAACGCTGAGTGCGAGTCCATGAGCGATGGATGTCCCATAGTTGGCAGCTGATCCGACGAACACATCTGAAACACAGGTTGTGTGTTATGCGTGAAATCGACACATCGTATAATAAATGTTAAATGCCTATCGGCATTCGACACTGACTGGGTGGAGGGGTGTGTGTATGTGTGCGTTTGTGTGTGTGTGTATATGCTTGTGTGAGAGAGAGAGTCCTAGCAATTGATATTAAACTTATGAGTTATGACTAAAGAATCGTATACAAATCTATGAACCAACACTCAACTAATACCATTGTTAACCGTAAAGGTGGTATGACGTCGTTGATTAATAGGCGAATCTAATATTCACTCATTTACCCTCCCAAAACCCGATAGAGGTGCATTTACTGTCACATTATTTTTTTAATTTTTAATTTTTAATAGCCCGCAGTAGTATAAAAACTGTCATAAATTATTTTTAATAGCTTGTCGTATTACATACTAAAATACTACCTAGTCAATACTAAACTATTACCTACCCATCCACCCACAACTCTAAAAAAACTCAGATGTGGCCGCTCTCGACTAACCTATTCCGAACCACGACAATGTTACATTACACTTTACTCTCTTAAATGTTAGTTTCTTAATATGGCTCAAAAGCTTCTACTATAGTTTTTCCCTCAGTTATGTTGTACACTTGTACCTACCCTAAATGTGTACCAGAGTTTGTAAGAATAGTGAAGATAGAAATACAGTATCCTTAATAGGTATGTATTATGTTTAATATTAATAGTCCTAACACTGCTGTGTGCCATATGTCTCATAATTATTGTGAAATAGTTTTGAAGCTAATAAATTATAAAATTATGACAATATGTCACATTATGTTAATGGTACAAAATTAGTTATACTATATTATGGTTACTGTTATTGTTATTTACAATTTTAAAGGTGAGCACTGAGCAACAGTATAAAAAGAAAAATTCCCCTGGCGGTTAATTGCACATTTCCGCAAGATGTCGAAAATTCGAATCTTACCACAACCAATTTGACATTTCCGAAATCAGTCATTCCCTACCTAGGACCTTCAATATGCAATGAACCTACTTTTATTTCTTAAAAATCCAAGTCAAGCAATTTAATATAAATGTAATGTAATTTCTTTAAATGTACATACTATACATGCACGAATAGGCCAAGTAGTATTAAATTAGAAAAACTAAAAATAAATTAATAAATATTGATACATTTTTTTAGCTCATTTAGTATAGGAACAAAATCGTTTAAAAAATACGAATAGTAACTATGAATAATAATAGTAGCTACAGGCCATGATATATATTATAATTATTTTCATTCTTATTTACGAATGGGTGTTGGCACGACACTACAGTGTATTCTCATACGACGAGTGCATACGAAGACAACAATAATAATATAATATAGGTATACATACTATGGTACAGTACTATAGTCTACACTCTACACATTATAATATATAGGAACAAATATTTTTACAATATGGCCGCGCGTCAAAAGGGATCGACCCTAAATGCGTTTTATTTTTTAACATCATTATAATATTATTGTGTCGTGCACGAAAAAAATAAAACCGTATGGGTACGCGTATATACGAATTGACAATATAAATAATATATCACAATGTGACGTGTACGTATACGTATAAAGGGTACGAGCTGGGACTTTTTGAAAACCCGACTACACCACGAAATATAATAATGATAATATGCTTGAGTAAGCGTCGAAAATCGGGTTCTCGCGTACGCGTGTGCGCCGCGATAGGACGAGAGCTGTTAAAACGGTAAGACGCCATAATCACCACCATCGTTGATGCATAATCAGACGTTTGAACATTTGATATTATATTATTACTATTTGTATGTTTCATTTGAACGTCTATATAAGTAGGGAAAAACGGTCACCAAAGGTACACCATGGTCCACTGTTAAATGAAAAGTGACTGCCGCTGCAATGAATGGTAAGATATATTTTTGACATTTTGTAATGGGCGTCCTCTTATAGATATGATGATAAATAAAAATTTAGACAGTATAACAAGTTCATAATTTTACTGAACGGGTTTAACTAATATTTGTATGCAGCATATTTTCCGTGCATTACAGACTATGTTAAAAATAATATTATTATGTTCATCATTGTTCTTCTCCAAAAATCCTGTTCGAATATCACCGTTATTTATATTTTCGTATATTAATATACAATATACTGTTATAATATTATAATAGGTATGTGTCAGTCGCCGATATTATGGTCAACTATTATATTTATAGTATTAAATACGTCTATAGTCTATATACAGCTTCAGATGAAATCGAACAACACCTAAACGTTTCCCATAAATATATTATCTTGATTATTCCGAAACGTAAATGTTTAACGATCGTGAATAGAATTTATAAAAATCTTCAAAAACTTGAAGTAGAGTATGGAATTTTGATGATTTATATTATTTTTAAGTGTATTAAATAATCCCAAAATAGTTATTAAAGTGTAATAATGTTGTGATAATATCAAAAACATGATGTGTTAAATACGATATTATACAATTGGTAAATATTTAAAAATTTGTAAATTTCAATTTTACGTACCTAGGTATGTATTTATTAATACTATACTGTTTATATTTTACTTCTTAAACTACAATTCACACATTTTATGTTGTGTGCTTAGAAAGTGTTCACGGTATGTGCATCGTCGACGGACGGTTAATTATAATACTGCAGCCAGGTTTTGATTTTCTAAATTTTTTCAATCTGACTATACAATATAACGCTAACCTAACCTTTAAAGTCGAATTTTATTATGGTGTCGGTCATAACGATCGCCTGCCTATAGTACCTACACATTAAAATGTACGTGCGGTACTTACCATGAGTTCGATTGCGTGCAATACGTCGCCGTTGCACCTCTGCAGCACGTTCTCGATGTCCACTCGTCTCTTGTACGGAAAAACGCGCCTGAGCACATCGACGGCCGACCGTCCGGCGGAGTTGACTCCGGCGGCTGCGGCTGCGGCGGCCGCGGCGCTAGTTTCCAGGAAACTGGAGAAATTCGGATAGTTCGACGGCAACCGGGAACGGTCGGGTTCGGTCGGCGAACTAGAGTCTCTCCGTTTGGGCAGCGAAAGGTTTTCCGGGGCAGCTTCGTTGCTGCTCTCGTTGCTCTCCACCTATTATATCATATACCATAAATATATAGATCATGTATAGACAGGGCGAGTAAGCATAACTAAATCGTCGCGTCAAATCGATATAGGTAATATTGTAACATAAATATATCATGGGAATTCTGAAACATAGAAGTTATTTAGAATTGTCGAAAAATCCATATCTAATCTTAGTCGAGATTCATCTCGTTATCTCCCCCTTGCATGCATTTAATAGTATGATGGTTATGCACGTATGCATCTTAATATAGTGCGTATATCGTACCTATAATCGTGCAAATATGTAGCCTAAGTGACTGCGAGATGAATCCGACCGGCGAGACAAGATCGATTATTTTCCCACATGTGCATCAAAGGAGTTATAAATGTAATATATACTATTTTATATTATAATTTATAGCACACGTCATCAAATACAAATATCGGAATAGGAATTGTATATTTTAATAATTATTGTACGTGAAAGAGTTATAACTAAAAACCAGGATTCAACTCTTAGATATAGGTATTATGTTTGGTTTTAAATTGTTATGAATAACATATATTTGAAGAGGTCAAACCTATTAAACAAAACCAGCCCCATGATAATCGACTGTGTGTCGATTGAATACCATAACCACGTTATAAAATGCGGTCAGAGTGTGAGAAAATATTATTATACTTTAGAGAAAAATCGAACTTACCTCCGATCTCGTCGGACTGTTGAATTTGGCTGCAAACTGTGTGGACGTTACTTGGGTCGGAGCGTTTGGCGACACGCTGGACGAGCGGCTTCGTGTGTTTTGATCTTGTGTGCCGATCGTTTGGTCGTGTTTTGCATTAATGGATTCTTCCGAACTGAGACGCGCTCTTTTTTCGTCTAAAATCGGGCAAATATCGAAGTTGTTCGATTAATCAGTTCGCTGGTGTATAAGTAAATACGAAAGTGCGAAGGAATGTTTGAGCAAAAATCCGCATGGAAAGTGCAATGTACGACCAGAGCACTTGGCGTATTGGAAGTAATATTATATAACTATTTCTATATTTATTGTTCCTGTGTTAACAAAATATTATGCTTGAAAAATAGCATACTACTTAATCGACCCGTACATATAGGTTCACTTAAAAAAAATAAAGTGTATACACATAACACAATAATGTCAGTACGGACAAATACAACGTATTTATAAAAGTCGAAGGTATAAGTGAGTATACAGTGTAATATATAGTAAATAATAATTATTATTGACGAATCGTTAATCACGCGTTTGTTAGATTTGTATGTGTGTATATAATGTGTACCAATATATAAAATTATAATATCATTGGCAAATGGTATGAAAAAAATTAATAATAATAATAATACGTAACGTTTCGAGGTTTATATTTTATTGTGCGTGAGTACGTGGTGGAAAAAAATGTTAAATAATACAACGTTCGTCGAAGATATTCAAGTGTATAATCATGTATATGCATATTAAAGTATGTACATAGGTTGTATAGTGTATATGAAATGCGGCAATTATTTTTTTACGGCTGAAAAAATAACACATCGACGTTGTAGCTGTAGGGCGATGAGGGTGCGGAAGAGAGTTCGAGATGGACGGACGGAGATGGCGGGGGGGATGAGAGAGAGAGAGAGGGAGACAGAAAGAGAGAGACAGAGTGAGTGAGCATTTAAACTAACGCGGGGGTGGAGGGTTTATAATATAATAATATGTCTAGTATGGCGATCGCGCTCTTAAAAGCCCGACAACCCTCTTTGCCACGGGTGCTGTACACCGCATAAGTGCGGAGTGAATAGCCCTAATACATTATAATATACAAATCTCTATTGTACAAACTCGCCTGCAGGATTTCGTTATTATTGAAACGTTTAAAATACATAATAGGTACCTGCGCTGTAGTTGTTTTCTGCACAACCATATAATATATTATATAGTAGAGTATATTAATTATGTAGGTGAACTACCACAGTGTACATATATATATAATATCATAAACATATTCATATTAAGTCAGTAAGTCACAACAGCTTATGTACAAAGTGCATACATAAATATACATATATATGTACACGGTGGTACAGGCGTTCGGGGGACACTCGACGCTGTACAATTGTTTACGCAGAACTATAACATAATATTATATTATATTACAATACATCACGACCATATAACCAATTATCCAACTTCCTATAATCCTACCATGTATATTATTATATTATAACCTAACCTAACCTAACCTAACCTAACCTATATATATATATATATATATATATTTGTACCATCGAGACTACAGTAAATGAGCACTTGAAAGTTGAAAGTTTTTATTTTTTAAAAAATGGTTTCTATATTAACTATATCTTTATTATTACCACTGTTGTGTATAGCGTTTAAGCGGCCAAGTTAAAATGAAAAAAAAGTGCATTCAATTATAAAAACACAATCTTAAAAGTTATATATTATTGTGCTGTATATATCTCTATCGTATACATATTTCTTCGAGTTATCAGAAAAAAACAAATAACAAATAAAAAAAAGAAAAAGAAAATAATAAAATAAAAGTATATTTTGATACGTAATTTTTCAAATGTTATGTAAAAATCATTATTTTATACTTCATCATTATTTTTTTTAATTATTTCTAAATTAAATATTCTCGTATGTTAATTTTAGAGATATGCTGATAATTAAAAAAATAAACTTTACGTGTAGTAAAAATGTTCTATTATAACTTTAAGAATACATCATAGTAAGATTAACAAAATATATAACTGTACAGAAATATCGTTAATATAGAGTACAACTTTTATTAAAAACTTTATGGGTAGGTACTTACATATTATACCTAGCTTATTATTTTATTTTAATTGCAATATATGTACCGTTTTCAAGTGCACTCTAGTCTCTAAGTAATAATTTTGAACAACAACAAATCGAGATAGAGTCATGAAGTCGTGGGCATTTCTATTAAGCTGCGATTTTAACCCTAAGCACTGCTCTTTTAACGTAAAAAAACATAACGCCACCCTTGGCATATTCAACCACTCAAGTAATATAATATATACGTTTATATTTTTCACCGTCTTTTGTTTAATTGTACTGCTGTTTGTATTCGTTTATTTTTAATTTAATAATTGACTAGGGAAAAACACTATCTGGGTAGCTGATATTGTGACCAAGTGAATTTCAAATGATATTATTGTTTTATCGTGTAATATCTGCGGCAAGACAAAATTTGAATCTGTAAAAGCAATTACTCAGCTACCACTTTTTGCAAATCCTTTCCACCCCACGGTTAACTGCTCAAGCGTTTAAACTCGTAAGATAACATTGTGTAAAACCACGTCTTTGGAATATTCATACAATGTTATCTGTTTAACAAAAAGTTTAAAGTGAGTTAAGGAGGGTAAAGAGTAGAGGTTAATTGGTAGTTGTGTTTAAGTTGTGTGTGCGTTGTTTTATAATAACCTCTTAGCCACCATTGTGAACGTACACATACAACGCAGCTCTAATAAGAAACACCCTTCCCTATAAAATATAATATAATATGCACACATATACACGTATAAATAAATATGATATATACATACACGATACACACACCTATATAATAATATGCCCCAAACAATGAAGACGATTAGGGGTGAGTTGGAAATCGTATATAATATACTTAATATAATAATGCAAGCAATTGAGGTCAAGAAGAATTCTGCGGCAATAAAAGAGGAATTCGGATAATGTTACTAGTGGTTATTATGTGTGCGGCGTGTGTATGTTCATATATACATCACGCACAGTCATAAACAGGGTCTTCTGTTTTCCTCGTCACCCTCGCTATCGAAGGCGGCCCACAATAATTATTATATATTTCCTTCGGTTGGCAACATAAAATATTATCGCAGACGTCATCGGTCTACCAGTCTTGCGTCAATTAAATAGTAATATATTATATTCCTTCATCATTATACTGTAGTTGTGCGTAATGCGTATATCATATAGGTATGTAATGTGGCTAGAAATGTCGAATTTGGGAGAACTGTTGTACATAATTATTATTATATTGTCTTACATTTGAAATATTATGAAACTTTCACTCTTTTTATTATTTATAAATTTATAGTAATGGTTTCTATGTTCAAGTTCTCAAAGTTATCATATAGGTAACTGCACAAATAAGTAAACACGTTATTGTTTTCTTAATTTTGTATTTCAGTAGTTACATACATTCAATGTAATATTAAACTGCGCTATTTAAAGTATTGGTGGAAATTATATTGTATCCATGATCTATCGTTAGCTTATGTAATATAATTTTGACAGATTATTTTGCGTCAATAGATTGTTTATTAAAAGTACATGTCAAAACGGCTAAACATGCATAGAATTTACAATTACTACTATTTACTGGGTAAGTTGGTAATATACATAGTTAAGCAATTGAATACATTTCTATACCAATTAATAAGTGTGGAATTCGGTTAGCAATGTTATAATGTTGTATGAATATACCTGGACTTGATCTAGCAGCAGCCGAAGATGACGACGATGGTGGTGGGTATATCAATCCTAGTTCCCTGGCCTCATTTTCCTCTTGAGCCTGTTGCCGTCGTAGAGCTACTTGGGCGGCCATAACTCTCTGTCTTTCTGCTATCAAAGTACATTTTGCGCAGGCACAATCTCTCCAACGACAGTAGCGTTTATGTCCCTAAATAATAATTTTATAATATTTATTATTCCTAGCTATTTCAGACATAATAATACACAATGTTATTTAAAAATTGAACCACTTAAAAGTATAAATAAGCTTATATCAAGAACATATAAGGTATACTCTACATATAACTTAGCCCTTATTTATACTACAACAGTAATAAAATATGAGTTTGATAAAATGTCAAAAAACAATTGAATAAACTACAATTTTGAATTTTCTACATTTATAGGTACCTACTTAGTACTTATACTATCTAAATATTATGATGTATACGCACGATTAAAGTCAGTTTAATGCCTAGTTTTTATACCTAGTAATTACATAGTTACACAATTAATAGTATTCAAATTTATTATAATAATTATTTGTTTTACTAATCAAGTACATCTGTTAACTAATAATCAATAGTAAACATAAGTTTTGCAATATTATTATATATGACCTTTAAATAGTTGCACTGAAAGTTAAATCAATATTAGTTCAATGAGTAATAAGTAATGACATATAATAATTTATCTGTTAAATATAACACCAGTTGGTAGTCGAACATTTGGAATAACTATGAATGAGAGAAACTTAGAAAATAGCAACCATATAATAATGTTTTGTAACTCCTTATTTTTGGTTAATAACCAACATTCATTCATATTCATGAGAAAGTTATGCATAATAAATATTATATTATGTACCATTATACATGTTGTAACTACCTATATATATTATAAAAAATATATATTATTATTATATGTATAAAGAGAGATTAAATTATTATTAATTATGTAAGTACATATTGTACATGCATATTTAATATTTATATGCATAAATATTAGTAATAATATAAGTATTATTATTTGATTATAAACATAAAATAATGTATTCAACAAAATTAAATAATTTATATTTTTTGATTTAATAACGATTATGAATATAAAGTACATTGTAAAGTACAATGTAAAGTAGGTACATTTATCTGGATACATTTTTAAACAGTCCTCAACACACCAATTAGAGAAACGAACAAATTCAATTTGCCACTTCTTACAATATTATTCAATGAATTTATAACTATATACATTTTTAAGTCTTAAATACAGAAAATGTACTGAAGCAGAATACACTATTTAGGTCATTAATAAATAATAAATAAAGGATACGTTACAAAAATAATTACAGTGTAATTAAAGCAATTAAGAAGATTTATCAATTTCTCACTTAAAGGTACAATTAATTAAATTTTAACAATATTTATTGTTCATGAAAAAGTTAATTTTGGCTATTTAACATATAATTGTAATATAAACTTAAACACGAATAAAAATTCAAATGTAGGTAAATCATAATTTATTTATACGAAAAGTATAAAATATACAATAAAATATTTCACTTAAAACCAAATCAAATAAAACGTAAGAATATTATTTATTTATTTTAGACGAGTTAATATTACAATTATTTGAGTTGAATACTATCATGTTAAATTATTATATACATAGTCTTCACTGTAAATAATTACTTAGGTACCTAACGTCATAACATAAAACGATTGTTGCTGTATTGAGACGAAATACAAGTTTAATCAATGTTTACGGGAACACTGAATTCTCATTAATATTTTGCAATAGTGTACGCAATACGCAAACAAAACAAAAATTATTAATTTTAATATGTTTATGAATTGGAATACTTACATAATTTGTATAAGCAAGATAAAACAAAGTTACTTATTTTTAACGTGAAAATTAATAGTTACTGTGTGTACGTTTATATAGCATTAGTAATATTGCTATTTACCATATTTAGAGTGTAAGTAAATAATCTGTGTATAAATATTTGTTAAATGAATGATTTTGCAGTATACCTATTAGTTATACATTTAAACAAAATATCAATGTCAATTAATTGTGTAAGTACAAAAATAAGCAAGTTTTTTTACTGACGTTCCTATAAATAAGGGTACCTAACCTATAGTTAGTCTCAGTGCTCTTCAATAGACAGCAAAATGTACAATACCATGTTGGTTTTTAAATTGTTGCGACAGTATAATATATAATTTTACAAGTTGTGTTACGTCCAATTGCCACACGTTTAATGTTTAATAGGTCAACCAAATATGTTTTGACAATATATAAATATATAATTAAATGTACTTATGTCATTATATTAAATAGGTGTATACAAATAAATAACTTACAACTACAAATTATTATACAGCTGTAAAACAAAAACTCAGGAAATAACAAAGTATAGTTTCAACGAATTCAAACAAGCGTAGGTTGTTCTTTAAATTCAATTATACAAGCATTAATGGAAATGAAATGAAATTCTTATTTATGTACTTCGTACTTGGATTTTTATTCACGTTAAAGAGCTGCTTTTGAATTTTTCTCTTAGGTATTTATCTAGTAGAAAAGTATATATTATGAGTATTGAGTACCTATACATGAGTCGTATACTCGTATGTACCTATTATAACCATAAAAGAATAATTTAAATATATCTTGTCTATCAATGATGATAAAATATGAAAGATTCGTGGGATATTGCGTTTAATTTTATTTAAGTAATTAAATACATATTAATTAAAAAATTACTCAAATCATACATTTTTTTTTAAATTATTCCTTTATAATTTATAATTTATAATCTTTGTAATATTTTCTATTTTATTAGTTATGATTACTAAATGATAATAGATCAAAGTCCACAACGTGGTTAAATAAATGTGATGCCGCTATTACGACACGTGTACTACTGTACTAACATTATAAATTGTAGCTTATAACTTAATTGCCAACTTCAAACTATATAAAAATTAATTAATTTGATTTACTTTAGTGAGCAGTAGTGCAATATCAAAATTAAATTAGTTAATAATATTTAGATATTACAATAATAAGATATAAAATAAATTATTTTTTGGCTTTAGATAGGTACCTATATATTTATAAGTGTTACTTGATATATATCTAGATCTAGCTCTGAGAAGAATATTTGTACATATATTGTTAAGATGTACATTTATGTTCGTATGTATTATATTTACTACAGTTATAATTTATTATATGCATAGGACCTTATATACAATATATATAAAATATAAGTATACTGTTAATGAAATGTTTATGAAATTTTAATATAAGATTATTATATTTCAATAGTAAGGCTTAAAAAAAATTGATAAGAACAAAACTAAATAAAGTATATTACGTAAAGCTCATCTCTTATACATAGTATTTAAATTGTTAAGACTGCGGCATTAAGTGTTCGTACTATATATGTCTATTATATCAATAGGTATCTACAAATGTTACAAATAGTGTGATTCACCAAGCATTCTCAGCCCCATATCCTATAATTGTGCATTAATGTGTATTTATTTAAATTCTGACTATTGTAATTTTTAGATGCACGCACTTAAAGTTCATATGTATTTTCGAATGTTGGATACCCTTCAACGACATTCAATAATGCAAATTTATATATTCCTATATTTTTCTTCATCATTGTAATATTTTATTGTAAATAATTTTTTGAAAATGTTGGTGCATTTAGATCGAAATTTGAACCTGTGGTTCCTGTGTTATTAAACTTTATGTACTAAGAGTAACAGATAATACATTATTCTTTAGACTTTAATAGTGGTTTTACATAAAATATTAACATAAATAACCTCTATATTTTCTAAACCTATTACCCCAAGTACCTACTTCAAGCTTAATACCTCGGAAAATACTTGTTCGAATTTCAATTTATAATTAATACATTAAAAAAATCATAAACATAACAAATTGCAATTAAAAGGGTGGTTCTCATTTGAAAAAAAAAAGTTTTATTGTACCTTTTGTTTGGACACTATTAAAATGTTTTAAAAATATGGCCCTTATTGGTATACTTAAAATTCCAAACATTAGAATTTGAATAAATGTATTATTATAAAATAAAAGTGGGGGGGGGGGTAGTATTCTGTGTGAATTATTTTGTACATAATATATATAGGTAATTAGTGACGATCAATGTACCTAATCTATAATCTGCGTTATCATCTTAAGATCAATTATTTTGATCGTATATGAGTAAGTAGATGTATACGAGTAATAGAATTATGACTTATGAGTAAGTAGGTATATATGAGTAATAGTATTATGAGTAAGTAGGTGTTACGAGTAATAGTATTATGAGTGCAACAATAACAATCCCTAGAGAATACATATACTTCCAAAATATTAGGTAATATATGTAGATACTATACCTATGTTATGTGAAGTTGTAATCCGATATATGACAAATAGACAATATTAATTATAGAGATATTTATAGAGAATATATAGATGTAGGTATATGCATAATACATTATCAATGACTATTTAGTTATTGTAGATGGTTAGAATTTATTATATAAACATAAAAATGTGTATCTTTATAAGTCACAATTAATATGCAATTATTCTGCAGGAACATCAATAGAAGTTTCATTGTTTTTAAACTTAAATAGTCTTTTTCTTATATAACTACTGTAATATGTACTTAACTGAAATGTCGAAAGCAATTTTATAGTGTATTCGTACAAATAAGAACATAAACGGGTGTATAGTAATATAAAATGTGATCGGAAACATAATGAATTTCATACTTTATTTAGTATATATGCCAAATTTATATTATATAAGATTTAAAAAACATAATTATTTTTCGGAAAAATGATGTAGCTACCTACTCATAATAATAGATAATAGCCAATAGGTATTATGACATGTGCACTAAGCCATAATATATCTTTATATTACCTACAACATCTACAGTTGTAGGCTATAACGGTTCGTTAGGAACTCGAGGAGGGTTTAAAACCACCCTTTCCCAAACGATTTATTTTTTTCCTGCATGCATTCACCCCCTCAACATCAGTCGGGGTTTATACCGATACCTAGGTACCTATACCTATATTATTACATATAACACAAACACACTCACCTTCAGGGCTGAAACGACTCCGTGGTTCCTGCACCGGGCACATTTGGGAGTCCGCTGGTACCGCTCGGACGCTCGTTGCAAGAAGAACGCGGGAGACAGTCCTCCGAGAGCGGGATGCTGCGACATGAGGGCAGCGGTCATGTCCACACCGCTGGGCAAACTCATCGTTACTGTCGGCGGTTACTCCAACACAACAACACCCGGACGGCGACGCCGAGTCTCTCGAGCCCGACCGGGCGCGGCGACGGGTTTGGCTCCTCCCCGCAGCGCCGCAAAGTCCCGCCCCGCCGGCACGCGTATATTTATTCTTACAGTATACTCTGCAGCTCTTCCACGGCGGCTCTACACACACACACACACACTGTAAATATAATTTTATATATTATTATTATCATTGTATTACTTTATATATATATATACCTAATATAATATCGCGTTCGTTTGTATTTTGGCGGAACAATAACGCACACACTCGCGGGCGTGTATAATATAATTTCAGGTGAACAGTACATAATATTGTATAGGTATATAGAGCGCTCAAACACGCACCACTATATTTATATATATAAGCGACTATTATACTGAAATGATATAATAATAATAATAGTAATAATCATAACACGTCTCGCTGGGTAAAGTCGGCGGCGGGGGCCACGTCGAATCACCGACCGCGTTTACCCGGCCAAACTCCACCCAGTTCCCCTCGGTGTATATAATATTATATATTGTATATGGACCGGTGTAAGTATATTGTAGGTATACATATAGATATATACATATATATGTATATACATTATACCTACTATATAGGTATATATCGTGCAGTGTATCTACACACGCACACATAAATTATTATGTATAATATGCATATATAGATACGTGTGTATATGGTATATCGACATAATATATTATATTATATAGTTATATAACATAAATATATATGTCCCGCGACGAGGCGACATGTATACGCGTGCGATATTGTGCGTATATATTATTATATTGTATAAAATATATAATATCATATTATGGATTATAGGTATATTATATATTATTATGTGCGTATATATATATATATATATACATACGTCATCCCTATATATAATTTACATTTTTGTCGGTTATTGTTCGATCCCGGCGGGATATATAGGTACCTATTATAATTTGTATACATGTAAATTGTATTTTTATATATTATATATATTATATATATTATATAATTGTCCCACCAAAAGATCTCCTGCATGCATACCCACGCCCCCCTCACCACTCGGGCTATATCCACCAAACCATATGCTCTCAACACCCGGCCGCCACTATAAGTGTGTATACTATATCACTATATAGTCAACTATACTGTATAATATAGTTATCAGTTATTATTATAGTATATAGTATACTTAGGGTCCCATACGTAAAGTATTTTACGGGTTTGTCTCGTATTTGAATCAATAGCATTACCGAGTGCATAGAGTATATTTAAGTCTGAGGTATATATAAAATGATACCTTGAAGTTAAAAAAACATTTTTTTTTTTTTATTCAAACAAAATAGTATATTTACAATCTGTAATATTGTATAAATAATATACAATAAATACATTTTTAAGCGAGTTATGAGCATTTTTAATTTACGCTATATTAATATATTATATACTTATGTCTTTGATTATATTCAATTAATTTTTTAGTTATATTTATTATGTATTTTATATTTAATTATAAGTTTTCTTATTATATACAATCTTAAATTAAGATAAATTATAATTTATTATGTAATGTTTGTTATCTTCTGCACACAATGTTTATACTATTATGTTTTAGGACTTTAGTCCGTTTATATTAATAAAATAAAATAAAATAAATACTCATAACATGCTAAAAAAATTTAAGTATAATGGGTCGATTAACTCTAATTTTTAAACTAACGGAGCTAAACGTGATCTCGTTAACGCAAATTTGCTATGTTACGTACTTGTAAGGAGGATGAGAGTATGAGACAACAAATATCCATGTGGCGTCCTCTTAAGATTAAAATAACAACATGAAATCACGATCAGAAGCAGGCCCACCATTGTGGAAACCCTCTGACTTGGGGGGGGGGGAGTTTAATTATTTTACACTTTAATATTTCCGAAGAATAAAATAAGAACTCAAAGCTTTAGAACTTGCGAATGCTATAATATAATTCGTAGCCAAGTCAGACCTTAGGCTTCAATATATTATCCTAACTTGGCACCCATTTAGATCTCACATCTTTTGTCGTTGAAGTCAACATACAAGGCATATATTATAGTATTGAACTTGGCTCTCATTTTACATATATGTTTTTGGTGGGATATCATTACTTTTTGTATGTAAATTACTATAACCTAACCTAACCTAGTCATGACGTATTCTATAAATAAAGTTGATTACTATATACTATAATTCAGTTACTAACATTAATAATATTTATTATAAAATATTTTCTGTTGTATACATAGTATAAAATATAAAAATATTGTATCTCTTTTTGAGTATATTTTTAACTATCATAATTTTATTTACTATAATTTCTACTGGTGGGTGGGTAATTCATAATCGTAAGATAAATTATTTAATAATCAATTGATTAAAAAATTAAAAATTAAAAAATAAAAATTTTCAAATTTCTGATTTTTTTTCCTTTGTATTAACCTAACTACCTATCTGTTTGCCAAATTTGAACTTTCTAGGTCATCTGGAACTGGGTTAGAATTTTGATCTATATGTCAGTCAGTTAGTCAGCAGTTAGTCAGTCAGTGATAAAAATGACTATTTTGGGACGTTAATATCTAAATAACGGTTTGAAGTGTGGTTATGAAATTTGGAGCACATATGTATCTCGTATGTCTGAATATATGAGCCAAATTTGACATGTTTATTTGGAATATATTTAGAGTTATGAGGGGGTCAAAACTGGTTCGTGTAATATTACACACAGTGCTGCTCGCCAATTCTGTTAGCTAGAACTTGTCTTGACACGCTATCACGTTTCTAGATCTTTAGAATGAAAGTTAAAAACGTTTTATGTAAGACAAAAAAAAAAAAAAACATAGATTTTATTCTATATTCTATATAAATTATAAGTTACCTATTTAAATTGTAAGTGTTCCGTCAGATCTCTGATTATTCGTATGAACTATGAATTGCTAAGAATTAACAACAATATTGACTGTTTGACTAGGTATTGTAATTCGTAGTATTGTCATTTGTAGCATGGCCGCATGGGGAAACTTATATAAACAATTAATAGTCAATAGATCATGAACCAAGACATTAACGAGTTAATAAGTTAAAGTTAAGTTAAAAAGTTAAGTTACTTTTAACTAAGTTAATTAACGAGTTACTTTTTTTTTAGAAGTAACTTCTAACTTAGCGAGTTACATTTTTCCCCTTGTTATTCAGTAACTTAAAGAGTTAATTAATTTTATTGGCACGTTAAGTTAATTTTTTTCCAAACCACATATTTAAAATTAATTATATAAAAAAAACCAGAAATATTAAATATACTTTAGTAAATAATAATTTATAATAATAGTAAGTTATTATATTGCATATTCAAAGAAAATATTATATAACTATATTATAGACGGAAATGTTATAGGGGTAACCGCATCATTAATAAAAGAAAAATATAAAACTTTACTCAGTACCTATCCCATACATGACATATAACCTAACCTACACCATTAATAATATTATTAATTATTATTATATTTTATGTTAGCTTTAAAAAAGGTAGGTAGGTATAATTATGAATTTTATTTAAAAAAAAAAAAGTAACTTATTTTTAACTAAGTTAAGTTACTTTTATTTTTAATTAACTTGTAACTTTTACAAGTTAAAAAAATTAACTTTTAACTTTAAACTTAACTTAAATTTTTCTAAATTAAATTAACTTAACTTAACGAGTTAAAAAAAATAGTTCTACAGCTGATAGACGATAGTTCATAGATTAAAATATGGTTATGTTTTAATTTTAATAGTTAATAGTCTATAAGTAATTTTAAACGTTATACATGGCGTATACTGTATAACAGAGGTGGTTTGACATTTTTGAGTTGGTGGTTCAACAATAGTTAATACCAACCAGTCAGCAACCACCTACCTACCAAAAAGTCATATTAGGTACAAGAACTTTCCTAATTTTTATAACTTTTTTGACAATTATTATTTATTTTAAAACATGCTTTATAATTGTGATGATATGATAAATTAAATACCCAATCATAAATAAGTAATAACCGAGTGAATGAGTCGACATTACAAACCTAGATAAAAAACAAAATTCGTTTTATCTAGCTCGCTGTACATCGGCGCAACTAGGGTAAATTTTTTACTAGAATTTTATCAGCAGCACAGACCCCCTAACAGTTAGGGCCTAACTTTAAACTTTGTTTTTTTTTTTTTTTATATAGTGTTAGAGATTAGAATGGCGTAGGGAAAGTGGCGTCCCCATCGCCCAGTGCATTGCAGTAGCCCTACCCTGACCTTAATTGGTTGGGGTAGTCTGGTCCTCCAGGTTGGGGGTTAAGGGTGGGGCTAACCACCCCACCTTATAAAAACTTATTTGTTATGATACCATCAGGATATCAACCTTGGACATGGAGAAATGGTTATAAGTTAGGACATGGAAATCGGAAAACTGGAATTAAGATCGCTACCTGGAACCCACTGAGCCTTTTTAGAACTGGAGCTTGCCAGAATCTTACAGATGTACTAGAAACATATAGAGTACAATGTACATATAGCAGCCTCGCAAGAGATAAGATGGTCAGGGAATGGACAGCTCAAAGTGGGGAAATATATAATCTATTTCTCTGGGATGGAGGAGAGACACTTTGTTGGGAGCGGTTTTGCTGTGCATGAAACCCTGGAACCATACATAAAAGAGTTCAATCCCGTCTCAGAAAGAATATCAGTACCACGAGTTGACCCAAAACCTCTAAATATAGTACTATTGTGTACACATGCACCAACAGAGACAGGAGATGAGGATATCAAGGATGCGTTCTACGAGGAACTGGCACATACTTATGATAATCTGCCAGGGAGCTTAATCAAATTAGTGCTGGGGGGCCTAAATGCCAAGTGTGGAAGAGAGACACAATTTAGCCCAACTATATTTAGTGAAAGTCTACATGAGACAAGTAACGGGATTGGTCTAAGGCTCATTTCTTTGCAGCGGCATGGAACATGACAATAAGTAGCACAATGTTCCCACATAAGGACATTCACAATGCCACATGGAAATCACCGGACGGAATAACAGCTAACCAAATAGATCACATACTCATTCAAAAGAAATTTCGTTCATGCATAAAATACATACCAAGCTATAGAGGAGCTGACTGTAATACAGATCACTTCTTAGTAGTGGCAAAGTTTGAGCTAAAGCTACAGAGTCGAAAACAACTAGAAAAAGGAAGTATCATAAAGATAAATCTAGAGATGCTAAAGGATGAAGAAATCCAGCAAAAATATTCAAAAAGTATCGGTGAATATATAAAGAGAATGGAATTGAATGGCATAGGTGAAGACTAGGACAAAGTTAGCAAATCCATTAAAGAAATTGCAGAAGAAAACATTGGAAAGATAAAAAACAAGAAGCAAAAATGGTATAATGAAAACTGTCGGTAAGCAAGAAGAAAAAGTCAAACTGCCCGTGAAAACTATATTAAAGAAGATAGTACAGACACAAAAAGAGTATACATCTTAGAGAGGAAGATTTGCAAACGAGTACTCCAGAGGGATAAAAGAAAGTATCTAAGTGAAATATTACAAGAGGCAGAAAAAAATTGTTCAATGGGAAGTGTTAGAAATTTCTTTAAGACCTTAAAACAATAGAATGAAATAGGAGTGTGAGTCGCAAAGGCGGAAAAAGCGGCATTTGCCTTAAATAAGTTCTTAAAATCAAAATTGTTTTCATAGAGGACTAAAACTAGACTATATACAGCAATAATAAGACCGACGCTCACATATGGCTGTGAAGCTTGGACTACCACCAGCACGACAGAAAGAAGACTTAGGACCTTTTAAAATAGAATTTGGAGAACAATATGTGGACAAACTTACGATAGCATCAATGCAACTTGGAGAAGAAAATACAACAAAGAACTACAAGACAAACTGGGAATTGCGTCAGTTATCAGCTTTGTAGAGGGCAAAGGATCCAATGGTTAGGACACGTGATGCGGAAAAGCAAGGATGATATAAGTAGGACAATCCTAAATTGGAAACCAATGGGAAAAGGACCGCGCAGAAGACCCAGGAAAAGGTGGATGTTGTTGAAGAAGACCTTGAAATATTTGGAGTACAGGAATGGAGAGAAGTAGTTCAGGACCGTGAAAAATGGAGAGATATTATGATGGCGGCCAAAACTCTTAGAGAGTACTAAGTGCCAGGTAAAGAAGAAGAAAAAGTTAGAGACTAGAGTACTTATTACATAGAGTTGGTGTATTACAATTTACAATTTAGGTACAGTTAAAACTAACAAACATTTTTGAATTTTGTTGTTTACTTGTTATAAACTGCCCTGGTTCCCTGAACATGAAGTAAAAAAAGGATTACCTATTGAAAAAAATTGTTTAAGGTTTAAACTTTAAACAAAATGTAAGTTCCATTTAAACAAAAGCAACATTTTTAACAAAAAAGGCGTTTAGACCAATGTTAAAAAACATTTAAAAAAACATTTTAAACAAAAAGTACATTGTTTAAAAAGTTAAAATACGTTTTTTTTGCAACCCTGTCAATTACCATCTTTAATTTTAATTCTATTGAATAAATTTTTTTTAGTTTTTTTATTCTATAATTATCAATAAAGTTTTATCTGTTGGGCCAAAAAGTGTAAAAATGTAATACAAGGTTCCCGATATATTGTTACAATATCAGTTAAAAAATATTAAAAATACATAGGCACAAATTTTTTTTTTTTATAAGCATTTAAAGATCGAATTTTGACAAAATTTATCAAATTTAAAATTGAATAATTATTTTGTAGTTAAAAATGTATAAAATGTTCAACTTTTATATCTAAGGTTTGAACATTTAAAACAAGATTCCACATAAGTTAATTCTGTTACCAAAATATCTAAAAAATACATAAGCTGCACAGTTTATTTTTATAGTAATTTTAAGTTCAAATTTGGACGAAATTACATAATAAAAAACCTAGAATAACAATTTTAGTTATATTGTTGTGATTGTATAATATAATTCTTTGGTACTTGAAACTTCTAAAGTACACTATTATATATCTATGATAGTATCAGGGTTTATTGTTGATGTATAACGCGTTATAAGTACCTAACGGATATTGTGATATGATTAATTTTAATTTATTATAGGTACCGATTATAAGTAAATTTTTTTTATTACCATATATAAGTATATAATATGTCTTACACTCTTATACCTAGACTGACATATCATCTCTACTCAGAATCGTTTTTCTTATACAATGATATATATCATTGAATTCAAATTTAATACCATCCATTATACAGTGACCCACATGTAACCTACTGTACAGCAGAGCACCTTTTTTTAATTAATAGTTAGTATAATATGGACATTATTATGTAGGTACATTATAAAACATCCATTCAGAAAATATTGAAAATACATTTCAAATACTTTTATGATTGAAAAAATACACCAACTCTGGCTACTGTGCAACTGCACGGTGAGCCGGTGTCATATGATGTCCCACGGCTGATACAAAATAAATAATAATCCACTTGGTATAATATTATTGTTGACAACTTTTTTTTTAACTCTCTTATTTACAACACCTTGCTAGTATACCAACATGATCCATTTTGGCATTTCGCTAAACTAAACTTTAAAGACTTATAACTATAGGGCCCTCATTTTAATGCAAAATGTATTATTTTTTAGAAAGACGGCAATGCTCTTCAAGTACAAAATCCGTTTCAAACATCAAATAATTGAAAACTTAAACTTTTATTTTGCATTTATATCAGTTTTGGCGTTTTTTGAGCAATAATTATAGTAATGTTTAGCTAATTTTGTTTATTTTTAGTGCACATGATTTGTATACATGTTGTACATTTTTAGATTAGCAGCAAAGTCTAGTTAATTTAGAAAAAGCTCTCTTGGTACATAAATAACATTATTAACTATTGATGATATTATTGATATCAATGAAAATTTTAAATAACAGTAGACTTCGTCTTTTCTACCACATAGTGCTTTTGTAGGTATTTACTATTTAGTTGTTTTTGTCGATAAAAAAAATGGATTTTAAAATATAGAAAAACTTTTCTTTAAAATCACTAAAAAATGTGTATAAGCTTAAAATTGTTTGGGCCCCTTTCATTTTGGTATTTGAGAGGGCCCAGGGGCTTCCGCCCCGTCTAGACCCCCCCCCCCCTTAATCCGGCCTTAATCCTGACAGGAAACACGTATATAATAATTCGCCGTACACGGTCACGGCTACCGCGGGCAACCGTTCTACCAGCGACACCCACACGCGACAGGATTTGTTAACATTTCCTTTGCCAACATTTGTGCGGTCATCGTTTTAAATTTCATCGTATATAGCCTGCAAAATCTGCAATATAAAATATATAATTAATATTGTAATATTTTATATTTATGAAGCGATACTATTAAGCTTTTTGAAAAATTACACCTGTTAACCATCATTATCTAAATTACGATGATGTGGTTTAATAATATATTGTATACGTACCATGGACGTAAATAGAGGGGGGCTCAGGAGGGCTTAGCCCTCCCTAAAATATTTAAATATTTAGGTTATCTTTGTTATAATAAATTATATTAGTTATATAAATTATAACCAATGGTAATAGCTATAAATATAATAAAATTAATAATATGTAAGAACGTTTTCCGGTTTTCGTATGATCAGTTGATGGCTATTTTAACGGCCAGCCTCCCAAACGTATCAATATATTATTATATCCCGCCGATGTGTGCCGTATGCGTGCTGGCATGCAGGTACCGACAACCAGGAGACCGGGTACGATTTTACCATAGAACAATATAGAAGTGTTAATATGAAAAATGAAAATGTCCCTAAACAGTTCAAAATAAATCAAAATATTTTGAAAATGTTATCGTGTATAGAAAATGCAAATATAAACAACCAGTGAAAATTTCATGTATCTACGGTCATTTGTTTTAAAGTTACACCAAAAACCAAATTCAATTTTCTGAAAAATCGATTTAGCGTAAAAATTCCCGTTTTTCCTTAATTTTTCTTTTGTTTTTCCCGGCGCTTTTGAAAACTACTGTGAAATATAAATTTTGACCTCCCCAATGCACCAACGATATTCACTTTCCAATCGAACAAGATACTGAAGTTGAAAATCGAAGCATTATTTCGACTACTTATCGTGTACACAGACACAAAAATAAAAAAATAAAAAAACACACATCATTGTAAAATCAATACATTCATCGTTTCACTCAGAATCTAAAATTGAATACTAAATGTCCATATACAGCTCAGAAAAAATCAAAATTTTGTGGTGTAGAAAATGCTAATTTAAACATTCAGTGAAATTTTCATGTATCTGCAGTTATTCGTTTTTGAATCTCAACAAATAAGGAAATCGAGTATTCACTGTATCCAATGTTGTAATTAACTTCAAACTCATAAAAATTTAATTTGACTTACAGACATTTTTTTTGATAAAACTAGATAATCTTATAAGGGATCTTGTATTACATTTTAAAATCTAGATTTAAAAAGAAAAACTTTTACGAATTCTTAACTCAAAACAATTTGTTAATTTTCGTGATTTTTTTATATTTTGTCAATTTATGAACTTACAATGCTTATAAAAAAAAAAAAAACTGACAGGATTTTTAATATTTCTCAAATGTCAATGTAACAATATAGTAAGAGCCTTGTATTAAATTTTCAAGTATTTTTACTCGACAAATAAATTTATAGTAAATAAATAGTTATAAACTAAAAGATTATAATTTTATATTTTTATCGATAATGTATGTATTGTTCAATGTAATTGTGATTAAAAATGTAAAGCTAATCGTAAAAATAAATAGTTAAGTTAATAAATAATAATATTCAACTAATAAAGTAATTAACAAGATTGATAAGATTAGAAAGGTTTATATAATTATAAAATAAAAACTTTTGGTTTATATTGCCCAAGCTTTACTGAGCAATTCTATACAGTCGGACTCCGGGCAATGTATAATTTCGCCTACATTGCCTGTCATAATCGGGAAGTACCATAATGTCTACTTTTCCCGTAACATATACATAAACTTAATAATATTATATTACATTATGTTTTATATTATTCAAGTATTTAATTAATTTAAAGTATTTATTACTGTAAATTTATCTGTTTTATCTGTTCTATCAATTATATAATAATATAATGTACTGAAAATATTTATCTTTATAACAAATATTAAAGCCATCACCCTTGCTGTATTCTGAAAAATACTAATTACACAGTCATCGAGGAGGGTGCAATACAATTTTAAACTGCATAGTTTGTCACAGGTCTGTAAACATAACAAGTTTTGCACGCTACACCGCATTAATATAATATTATGTATATATGTATTTTATATTTTGACATTTTAATACACTTTATCGTATATACATATTATATAAATTATAATTTATATATTATAATATAATATAGCGTATTTTGTATAGTGTTTTTTCTCCGAAATGCCCCACGCTGTCGATGACAACCGATTTATAGTTGACGCGACAAACGCGTGTGTATTTTTATTATTATTGTTTATATACATATATATATATTATAGTGTTCAGAAATATTGCAAAGGGTTGTGAACGTGACAAAAAGGGTCATTTTTCGGACACCCCCTTTACCGCGAGTCCTCGACGTCAGCCACACAATCTGAACGCTAGATACCATAACAATAATATATAGTGATCGGACCCGGCAAATGGTCAAAAAATTCTAGTTTTATTATAATTTTTTTGTCCGGCCTCTCGTCGCCGACAATAATATGTAAAAATATGCTGAACGTTTTGGCGGATAAACAAATATGCCAACGACAGGTCACCCGATTTTGTCGAATCGTATGGATTTATAACTGTTGACTCAACGGTATTTGGTTGTTTTTTTGTCCCATTTCCAAAAAAAAAAAATAATAAAAAAAATAAATGTTATTTAACCTCATACGACCGAATATAATGGTGTTTTATAATATGTGTGTATGATCAGTGATCACAGTTTAATGTATAATACCTGTCCGCTGACACCGTAGGTAAGGTATGTTATACATACAATTTGTGTTGGTAGTAAAGTTGAATTTTGATTGGATGTAAATTAATGGGCATTTTTGGTCGATGTAATATTGTGTATAGGTACACGAAAATTGACACTGACTAATTTGGAGTCAGTTGTCATGTAAGTAAAAAGTCATGCAAATATTAATTTTTCACGCCTGCACAGATATTTTAATTGTTTATACCGGTTAAAGCGTTGGAACATGAAGACTTTTTTTCTGTCCAGTGGATAGTAAATACTTTTTTTAAGTAATGTGTTGATATGTACATCTCCAACCGACTAGTACTGTACAAATCCCTACTGCAACCTATCTGGTCATACGGAATCGCTCTCTGGGGTACAGCTAAACCATCGAACACAAAAACCATACAAGCATTCCAACTTCCAAGCCATCTGCCCAGGGGCGTCATTTGGGGGGGGCAAGAGTATGCATTTGCCTGAACCCTAGATTTTAAAGTAGCCAAATGGGCCGGTGGCCGGGTCTAAGCGGGCCGGGTGGCGGGTTTTCTTTAACAATCAATATAATCTTAAATCTACTGACTATTCTAGAATATACTACATAATATAAAAATAGAAATTTGTGGTATATCATAAATCATAATAATATATTAATTAATATTTAATACATTATTATTATTATTATTCTATTCTATGGAACTATATTCGTTATCTCAACGATAAAGTAAGTTTAAAAACCACGATTAAAGATCAGCTATCGACGTCGTGGACCGTGGTAACCAGTATAATGTAATGTAACTATGACCACAGAACAATGTGACCGAGCTATGACTGATAAGAGCTGTTGAATTTGTTTATATACCTACATATATTTTTCTTTTTGTAGATTTGTTAATGAATTAGATAAACGCTTCAATGATACAAATAACAGCATTATTTTAACTAGCAGCATTTTCCTTTCCTCCAGCCCTGAATATTTTAATTTTAAATGTCCATTCCTTGATGATTTTTTACAAAATTACAAGCACTTTAATATTAACACTATCAAACTAAAAGCTGAATTTCTGAGTGCTAAAGAATTACTTTCGGGTGATTCAGATGCCAAACATGATCTATATTCTATTTCAAAAATATTACTCCAATTACCTCAATGTTACTCTGAAACATTAAAAATAATAACCATTCTTATGACCTTACCAGTTTCCACCGCTTCTAATGAACGCTTTTTTTCATCACTTAAGCAAATTAAATCATATTTAAGATTAACTATGGGTGATGATCGTCAGATCGTCTCAATGATTTATTGGTTGTTGCTGTTGAAAGTGATGAGGCCTCAACAATTAATTTAGATGAAGCACTTCACGTTTTTGCTAGTATGAAGAATCGTCGCTACCCACTTATAAGCTAGCTAAGCAATGCACATCTATAATGCTTTTAAATTGTAATAATAATAAAGAACAAAAAAATATTTTAGTCTTTAATTCCTTTTTTTTATTATTTGCTTATGCTTATTGCTTTTTAAATTTAAGTATTATAATTGTTTTATGTTATAATTCAAATAAGGTATACTTAGCAGGGGCGGATTTACCCATAGGCCACCAAGGCACGTGCCTAGGGCGCAATATTTTTTGGGGCGCAATTTTTTAGAAAATTTTTATTTTTTAGTTTTTCATAATTGTATAATTATATTTACCTAAATTTATATTTTATGTTAATTTTTCTTTGCATACAACTTGCATGAAACTGGAGAATGGCTCACGTAGTCACGTTGCAGTAACGCTTTAATTTATAAGCTATAATAGTATAATACCCTTGTCGTTTGAGTTTAATCCTGCGACCGGCTCGGTGGCTCGCGCTACGCCGCGACGCCACCACGACCGCTAGAGGTTCGATATCGACACTCTACGAGGCAGTTGCCGGCTTTGCCTATGTTAATGCATGGGAGATGGTATACGGGTGTGTGGCGTAAACACATACAACATTGTGAATGGCGCATGCGCAAAACGCCAGCCAAGGCAGTCAAATATACTGCCTCGGGCCGCCGGGTACATTGTATATAGCCGCTCTACTAGCTAGGTGGGGGACAGCTCGCACAGTGCTAATTAGCAGTTAGCAAGTAAATTATTTGATATTGACTGGAATGACCCGCCTCACCCCACACCCGGCACCACATTACCACAATAAGTGTGCGCGGGCGCGCGGCCACCAAACTAGTCTATTCTTAGAATACTGGAAATCAGATAAAGTAATTAATAATAATAAACATTGCGACGCTGGCACTGTCGTCCGTCTCTGCTAATCGATTACGATTATAGAAACGAGTGTTCACCATTTTAATCAGTACCTACTAGCTAGTAGCTACTACCTACCTGGCTACCTATACGAGATAATATTTAAGTTTAACATGTCTAGTAAAAAGAGTGGGCACCAGTTTAAAAAAATAAGGCAAGAAAAGTTGGCCAAACAAGAAGATGTGTTACAAAAAACAAAAAAACTTGATGGATTCTTATGCAAAGTATGTTCAAATTAGTAATTACAAAACCATCTTTATTTAATTTTTATATTTTATAATAATATATTAATATAATAATATATTATAATTAGTAATTATTATTTATATTTTTTTCAATATTTATTACGAAAATTGTAACTTTTTTAGAATCCATTAAAAAAACCTATGGAATCAGCTGAAAAAAATGACGTAATAAAGTTGATTGACAATTCAGAATTAAAAAGTTTATCACCTATGTCCAAGTCCAAGGTATGTATATAAAATATAATATATGAATGCTTTTGAGTTTTGAATAAGAAAATAAATAATTTAAATAAACTCGTGATCGCATCTTGTACACTGTTATCCTTATCTGTCAAATTACACGCATTATGCACTTATGCCGTTATACACGTCTTGCACAGTAGTTGTACGTTATAATTACACATAGTAGGTACCTATCTATGAACAAACAATTTACCTTGAAATTATGTTTACAAATTTGGTTATTATTCTCCGTCCTCCGATTCCATAGTAGTTATGCATGCGTAGTTTACTAGGTATATTTTATTTTGTTTACAGTAATATGTCTGCGTGTGTGTAACTCAAAAGAAATATTTTATTTGAAGTTCAAATTCTTACAAATTTATAAAATTGACGGTTTTCATTACTGAAATTATTATATCAAAAATATTAAATGTTTAGGCTGATTTGAATGATGTAAATGTCGATGAAATGTGTAATGGTAAAAATTTGATGGAGGTGCAAGATGACAATTCAACAGAAGAAGTTCAGCGTTTTCCAACCGATCCGGCAGATTGGTTACGTACTGCAAGTTTTATAAAATTTTGTGCAGTACATGGGGTAGATCAAAATAATAATGACAATTTTATTCAATCAAAAAATCAATATTCTGTAGGCAAAGTGAGATTTTGTAACAAAACTATGTTTTTTTCAAAATTACCAAATGGTGAACAAATTTCACGTGCATGGCTTGTTTACTCCCATAAATTAGGAAAAGTTTTTTGTGCACCTTGTTGGTTATTTAAAAATGAATCTTCTAATTTGGCTAATGATGGTTTTAATGATTGGAAAAATGCACATAAGCGTCTTAAAGAACACGAAGGATCTTTAAATCACAAAACATGTTTACTAAAATTGAAAGATTTAGGACAAGAACAAGGAAGATTAGATTCTATGTTATTGGTTCAAATTAAGCATGAAAAAATGTATTGGAGAAGTGTTTTAGAGAGAGTAGTATCTGTAATTAAAACATTAGCTTCACGCGGACTTCCATTCCGGGGACAAGAAGAGATTTTTGGATCGTCTAAAAATGGAAATTACATGATGCTCCTTGAATTGTTATCCGAATTTGACCCTTTCTTAGCACAACATATTTCGAAATATGGTAACTCTGGTAGTGGTACTACATCGTACTTATCATCGACAATTTGTGATGAAATTATTGTATTAATGGCCAAAAAAGTTAAGGAAGTTATCATAAATGAGGTTAAAAGTCGTAAATATTATTCGATTGTCGTCGACTCTACACCAGATATAACACATTCTGACCAACTTGCTTTTATCCTTCGCTATGTCAGTGATAAAGGTGCACCGACAGAACGATTTTTAGAATTTATACCAAAAGTTGGTCATAAATCTTTGGAAATAGCTGAAACAGTCATTATGACAATCGACAATTTAAAATTGAATATATCAGACTGTCGTGGACAATCATATGACACAGCTAAAAATATGTCAGGTTGTTATAATGGTCTTCAAGCTCGAATAAAAAATATAAATCCTTTGGCATTTTATATCCCATGCGCAGCTCATTCACTGAACCTAGTAGGGTCGCATGCAGTTGAATGTTGTAATGAAGCAGCTACATTTTTTGGACTAATGCAAAATATCTATGTATTTTTTTCGAGTAGTACACATAGATGGGATCTCCTCAATAATAATATGGTATCAAAATCACGTACATTAAAAGCACTTTCCAATACGAGATGGTCATCGAGAGATTCTGCATGCCTGAGTTTAAATGAAAATTGGTCTGCCGTTTTAGCTACATTAACATATATAATGGATGATGACACTGAAAATAATATTACTAGAAATGAAGCAAAAGGACTAATGAATAAAATTAGTTCTTTAGAAACTGCAATCATGTCAGTTGTATGGGGTTTTTTGCTTAGTCGATTAAACGTTACAAGTAATAAGTTACAAAATGTCAATATTGATTGTTTGGATGTACTTCAGTTTTACGATAGTTTAATTAGATTAATAGAACAGACTCGCGAAAATTTTGATGATTTTGAAACGGAAGCATTGGCAAAGGCAGTTAGGAAGAATTACAAAATAACTACAACAAGAAAAAAGAAGCGAAAAGTTTTCCATGACGAATCTGAATCTGAAGATGTAAATTTATCGGCACGAGACAGTTTTAAAATACATACATTTATTCCAATCTTAGATAAATTAAAAACTGAATTAGAAACTAGGCGACATGCATATGATATTTTCTGTAAACCATTTACATTTTTAACGAAAATTAAGGAATTGGACAATCAAGAAATTAGAAAATCGGTCAAATTACTTCAAAACATTTATAAAAATGATGTAGAATTTAACGATTTTATAAATGAAGTGTTACATTTAAAAGCTCATGTCGATGTAATCTCTATAGGGGAAAAACACAACTTACTTAGTCTTCAAACATTTCTATATGAAAAAGACTTAACAAATATTTACCCAAACATAGAAATAATACTACGCATTTTTACTTGCACAGCTGTCACCAATTGCTCAGCTGAAAGATCATTTTCGTGTTTAAAAAGAGTAAAAAATTACTTACGTTCTACTATGACTCAACAAAAAGTGAACTCATTTGCGATTCTAAACATTGAAAATCAAATAACTCGTCAGTTATCATTTGATGATATCATAGATAATTTTGCTACCGACAAATCAAGGCGCAAAATGATTTAATTATTCTACTAATATTGTATTAATATTTATTTGTTTAGTATTTAAAAATATAAAAATACCTGAATACAATTTTTATAGTTTTGTTTTATTTCATAGAACATTATCCCTCCCCCTGTGGGAGCACACCAATTTACGGGGCGCTAGTGTTGCAATGCCTAAGGGCGGAAAAATGGTAAGTCCGCCTCTGATACTTAGTGAAACAGTACCACAGTTGTGGTACTTTAATGCATATTTTATTGGGAAACTATTATTAATATTATACAAATATTATTAATTATTTGGTTTTCAGAGTAAACTACCTACATTGAAGATTATAATAATATGTTGATGTGAGTTAAGATTAGGTATTTCTGTTTTAATAAGTAGTATGTTAACAAAAGCGGCTACAGTTTGTGTTATATAAATTATAAAGTATAAAAATAATAATTGAAATAAAAATTGGGCTAGCTAGGCAATACACATATTGTTTTAACTAAATAATCAAAGGGCCTGTAAAAATTTTGCCCCACCCTAAGAAAAACTGAAATGACGCCCCTGCATCTGCCTCCGTATGATTGCCAGTAACGCAATTACCGGCGGGTGGGCAGGGCGACGCCCTGCTAAAAGGGCACTATGAGATTAATTTTAGGGCACAAATCCTGTGACTGAATACCTTCTGTGTTAGTCCAGATTCAATAATAATAAAAATTATAAAATATAAAATGTTTATCTATTTCATATTTTGTTAACAATTTCTTATCGATTTTATAGTTGTACGATATCACGATATTTATTCTCTTATCGGTTTTATAATCAACTTTGGATTTCTCTGAAATTCGATAATATTATGTGACCATGACGGTAATCGGAAAAAAAAGTCCTACACTAGGAAAAAAAAGTACCGAAAAAAATGAATTAAAATATATCAAAACTGAAGTATAAATAATATGTTAAAATTGTAATGAAAAATAAATTAAAGTTACATAAAAAATCATATAATTTCATAAAAAATAGGAGGGAGCTTACATACCTATAAACTATATAGTGTATATTATATTTTAATATATATATTTAATTTTCAAGTTCCTTAATGAACATCATATTTTCGGCTTTTGCTATAAGTTAGTAATTCACTATTTAGTTTTAGTGTAATGATAATATGGTATATATCAAAATGTATAGATAAATATAAAAAGTTTCATACTATAAATTATTCATCATAAATTGATAGGTAATTTGCAGAGGTAATTTTTAAAAAAAATTTAGTTTGTTATAATAGGAATTCATTTTGGATAGTTTTTCAAATATAGTGACTAATAAATATATACGAAATTACGGATAACATTGAATTGAGTCCAGCAAATACTTTTGGGTTATCGGAGTTGAGTCCGACCAATATTTTTAGGTCGTTCGAGTTGAATCCCTTCAGCCTATTACCGTTACCCAGAACTCAGAAGACACCACGTGGAGGTTGGCTGAGTAATCTCCCAAAAAATTGGTGTGATCGTATTTTTTTAAACATAATAATAATAATAAGAAGAAGAAGTATAAAGAGTTATTAAAAAATATTAAAAATAATAATTATTATGTATGATTGTATAGGAACACTGTTTTTTTTGTATCATATAAAAAATAATAATAAGAAAGAGTCAATTAAAAATAACAATAATTATGTGTAATATAATAATGTTAATAATGAAATAGTTCATAGTTGCTAGTAAAAATTTAAATGATATATATTTTAAAAAGTCAAATCTGCCAATTTGCATATTAATGTATTTGTTTGTCTGCTCCCGTAAAAAATGTTCTTTTTCTAATGTTTTTTACATGGTCTCTTTGCTTTGCTTCTAAGTTTTATATATGTATCGGACTGTATTCACAGAAGAGTGTCCACAAGAATAAAAATGTTGGGATGTCCCATGAATATCTGTTATCGTTGAGTATCCTGTATAATATGATGACATGAATTCACTTGATGTGCAAGGTTCAAAGTCACCGGCTTAACACGTAGTTATGACATTTTATCTATACGGACTCAATTCAAGGATATTAAGATAATACCTTGGACTCAATTCAAACACATAAAAGTAGCATGGACTCAATTCAATATCACCGGAAATGACTATAGATACTTATAATTTGAACTTTTATTTGGAACATTACATAAAAACAAACGTTTTTTGATATAATAATAGGTTATATGTATACCTATAAACAGGCCTTTTTAACAGCCGTAACTCATAAGTCATAATATAAGAAAGAGGTACCTAAAGTAGGTACCCAAGTATAAATTACATTTTAGATTCTGAGTAGAACGATGAATGTATTGATTTTACAATGATGTGTGTTTTTTTATTTCTTTTTGTGTCTGTTATCACCTTTTAAGACAGTAAACGTGCTTGGATTTTCTTCAACAGTATATTTTCTGATAGGAAAGTGAATCTAGTTGGCACTTTGGGGGGTCAAAAGTAAAATTTTCCAGTAGCTTTCGAAAGTGCCGTGAAAAACAAAAGAAAAATTAAGGCAAAACGGGAATTTTTACACTAAATCGATTTTGGTTTTTGTTGTTACTCTAAAACAAATGAACATATATACATAAAAATTTCACTGGTTGTTTATATTTCCATTTTCTATACATGATAACATTTTCCAAATATTTTGAGTTATTTTGAGCTCTTTACGGACATTTTCAGTTTCCATTGTTTTTAGTTTTTTTTTCTATTAATATCAATATAATTTGTTTTGTACAAAAGCGTGAAAATTTAATAGAAGGCTCCTAATATATTGCTTCAAAGGCAGATAAAAAATATTAAAAATTCTTAGTCACAGTTTTTTGTTATAAGCATTTAAAGTTCAAATATTGACAAAATACGTAAAAATGACGAAAATTTGCAAATTATTTCGAATTAGAAATTCATAAAAATTTTTCTTTTTAAATCTAAGATATGAAACTGTAATACAAGATTCCTCATAAGTTTGTCTACCTTTCCATCCGGTGAGAATTGCTCGAAGGAAAACTCTATAAGGTTCAGCAATTAATTTCTATATAACGCATACTGTGTAGTATATTTTCTTTCTTTTTAACGAGTAATATATCTACTATAGTCAATAATATGCCTATACAATACGCATATAAAGATAGACGTTCAGATTAATCGTATCTCATCGCTCCGATGAATGTATTGATTTTACAATTATGTGTATTTTTTTTTTGTGTGTGTCATCACCGTTTGGAAAAGTAAAACTGCTTCGATTTTTTTCAACAGTATATCTTGTTCGATAGGAAAGTAAATCTAGTTGATGCATTCGAAAAGTTCAAATTCCCAATAGTTTTTAAAAACACTGGGAAATACAACATAAAAATTAAGGGAAAATGGGAATTTTTGGTGTAACTTCAATACAAATGACCGTTTATACATGACATTTTCACTGGTTGTTTGTATTCACATTTTCTACACACGATGAAATGTTCAAAATATTTTGATTTGTTTTAAACTGTGTACTCACATTTTCAGTCGTCCGTAATGGTAGAGGCGTATGGTAACCAAATTTTTATAATATAACATAGGTTACAAACATTTAACTATAAGTATTTACTATATTTAATGTTTAGGAAATAAATATATGAAACCGAATACAGAATATTTTTTTTATAATTCTACTGTTTATAAATTTATAATATATAAATATATCCATAAGTTAAAGGCCTTTGAATAAAAAAGTTCGGTGTCTCTTCTACCTACTCTTCTCCTACAATGCGTGTTGTTGCATATTTGCAACAATCTTTTTTTCGTTTATTATGGCTATAATATTGCGTAATTATATATGTGGAGCACTCTACTGGATTAAATAATATCTATTTTTTTATTTCAATAACAGTAGCATGTTGATTTTATCGAGTAAACACAGTTTCAAAATAATATTATTGATAATAACGTGATAAACAAAATCTTTGATAATCGCGAAATAAACGATTTTTTTTAAATGTTTTTCATTACATTTAAGTAAGTAGTAAAAAAATTGTATTCACAGTAAGTAACTATGTATTTTATTATTTTAATAATTTTATTAACTGGCTAAACGGTATTATTGATATATTGATCATTATTAGATTGTTGCATATATGCAACATTGCGCGTAAGTGTATAATATTTCTTATTTATTTTATTTTATAACAGGATGTGTTACAACTTTTTATATTGAAAAAATTAATAATTCAGACAACATGAATGAGGAAGAAAATGTACTTTAAAATATACTTTTAGACAGAAGTATTTCAAGTATATTTCAGATACTTATTATTATATTTTGTATTTAAAAATATTAAATACAAAATTTTCGAACAAGATATTTACTATTTAGTTAGGATAACTGTATATGTTATAAATCACATAAATTAAACATAACTACATTCACAATTTTTTATAAATAAAGGAATTTTGTATAAGCCTACAATTATTATCTTCTATATTCAATACACTTTATTAAATTAAACAAATAATTAGTTTTAAGAATTAAGAATCAGAAAATAATAAAGCTTAAAAAAATGTATCTAAAAATATTTGAAATACTTTTTGAATATATTTGTATTTGTATTTAAATATTTATTAGCAAAGGTATTTAAAAATAAAAATATTTAAAATAAATATTTTAATACTTTTTAATTGAAGTATTTAAATACCTATTTGAAATACTTTTGAAAAATATTTTTAACAACATTGGATAAAAGGTGCTGTCATATAAGATATTATTATTTATGTTTTTTATTACTATTTAGATATTTTTGTAATTTTAATTGAAAAGTTTTTTGTTATTATGATTTTATTATGAATTTTTTTTTGTTATTATGATTTATTCTTATAATTAATAAAAATGTATCCAAGGTAGAATGGATATAGTTGTATTAAAAATATTAAGACTTTGGTGCTCAATGTTGCATATTTGCAACAAACTGAAAATTCGTTTTCTACAAAAAACTATTAGTCCAATATTTTAGATTCTGAGCGGAGCGATGAATGTATTGGTTTTACAATGATGTGTGTTTTTTTTTTTTTTTTATATTTTTGTGTCTGTCATCACGTTTTAGGACAGTAAAAGTGCTTGGATTTTCTTCATCAGTAGCTTTTCTGATAGGAAAGTGAATCTAGTTGGTACTTTGGGGGGTCAAAAGTATTAATTTGCCAGTAGTTTTCACAAGCGCCGGGAAAAACAACATAAAAATTAATTGGTTTTCCAAAAAATCGATTTTGGTTATTGGTGTAACTCTAAAACAAATGAACGTATATACATGAAATTTTCACTGGTTGTTTATATTTGCATTTTCTATACACGATAACATTTTCAAAATATTTTGATTTATTTTGAACTGTTTAGGGACATTTTAATTTTCCATTTTTTTTTAGTTTTTTTTTCTAAAAATATCAATAAAATTTTATTTGTTGGTTGCGAAAGCTTGAAAATTTAATAGAAGGCTCCTAATATGTTGTTTCAAAGGCAGATGAAAAATATTAAAAATCCTTAGTCACAATTTTTTTTTATGAGCATTTAAAGTTCAAAAATTGACAAAATATGGAAAAATCACGAAAATTAGCAAATTATTTTGAGTTAAGAATTCGTAAAAAATTTTCTTTTTAAATCTAAGATTTGAAAATCTAATACAAGATTACTCATAAGATTGTCTACCTTTATCAATAAAAAAATCTCTACCGGACAGTCAAATTAAATTTTTATGAGCGTTTGAAATTCAAATTTTTACAACATTGGATTTTCACTCGATTACTCATGTAGCGATTTCCTTATTTTGTTGCAATTCAAAAACGAACAACTGTAGATACATGAAAATTTCACTGAATGTTTAAATTAGCATTTTCTATACACAATACAATTTTGAAAATATTTTGACTCTTTTTGAGCCGTTTATGGACATTTACAGCTTTCAATTTTTTTTAGTTTTTTTTTCTATAAATATCAATAAAGTTTTATCTGTTGGGCCAAAAAGTGTAAAAATTTAATACAAGGCTCCTGATATATTGTTACAATAGCAGTTGAAAAATATTAAAAATACATAGGCACAGTTTTTTTTTTATAAGCATTTAAAGATCAAATTTTGACAAAATTTATCAAAATCTCGAAAATTATCAATCATTGTAATTAATAAATTATAAAATGTTCAGTTTTTATAGCTAAGGATTACAAATTCAACACAAAGGTTCTCATAAATAGTTCATACTATAACCAAAAAATCTAAAAAATATATGAACACACTTATTTTTTATAGACATTTTAAATTCAAATTTGGACGAAATTACATATTAAAAAACCTAGAATAACTATTTTAGTTATTTTGTTGTGATTGAATAATATTATTCGTGGGTACTTGAAACTTCTAAAGTGTACTATTATATATCTATGATAGTATCACGGTTTTTGTTGATGTATAACGCGTTATAAGTACCTAATGGATATTGTGATATGATTAATTTGGAATTCATTATAGGTCAATTTTTTTAAACCATAGATAAGTATATAATATGTCTTATACATACACTGACATACCGTCACCGCTCAGAATCGTTTTTCTTATACAATGATATTATATCATTGAATTCAAATTTAATACCATCCATTATACAGTGACCCACTTGTAACCTACTGTGCAGCAGAGCGACACCCACTTGCCCACCTTTTTTTTTTAAATTATTTTTCCCAAATTCCTCAAAGATAAATTAGTTTATAAAATTGTAATTGATAAAAAAAAAATATCGCGCATTGAAGGGTTAAGTTTTTTGGGATAAGGTGTATAAAGCTATCGCTATGTAAAAGCCTATTTATAAGAATCGTATGATGTCTGTAATATTATATATTTGTATGACTGTCAATGAACTTTATTTTTATCAAATAAATAATGTAAAATTACGACTAAATTAAATTCAAATACACGGAATCAATAATCATATTATAGAAATAATAAATACTTGCATCAATACATATTGTATTTTAAGGAAAAAACAAAATTACAAAATAAACACAAAAAAAATATTTGTAAGAATTACGAAAAGGTAAAGATAAATATATTATTATAATATATCAACCTAGTTTATTATTATAACATTATTGTTTAAACGAGTGAAATACGTACTACCATTAATTATAAATACTAGTATTTATAATCAATAGTACTATACGTGTGTTGTTCATACTTGAATTATACAGCACATTTATGGTTCCTAATTATTGATAACTGCAATATTAATATGAATAATATAACACAAACGTATTTTATAGTACTCTATAATAATTGTTAACTATAGTTAAAACTGTTAACGATAAATTACTCTCTATAGTTAACTGTAGATTTATAAATTAAACATTAAACATTTTCTATTAACTAATGACTGATGGACAGTCCCCGCCGATCGTAATAATAATATAATATATGATACTTATAATGTCTTATACTACATATGTATCAGCATGCATAAATGCTGAATATGCAACAATATCTATATAAAATTCTTGATTAAACTTAATGTATTCTCATGTGTTGGTCTTATGATGATTTCAGCTACCTGCAAAAATTAAAATTTATGAATACAAACTCTAATAAATGTATCAATTTATTGTAACACATAATTTTTTAACACAAAATGTATCTGTATTACAAACATATGAACACGAACTTATGGGCTAAAAATAGCAACTTAACTAGATCGGTTCTATTTGAGAGGTGCTAAATAAATGTCTGGATGTGTAAATCGCTATTTGAACTAGGAAGGGACGTCGTACGAATTTCGGAAATAGGCATACATATGGTTACGAAAAACCAGCAAAAACAACATAGGTCGAAGTTGGGGGGTCTATAACCCTAGGGCATATAATAATAATTCACTGGGATGGTGTATGTCACTATTACATAATTCATGAAATATGAACAGTACAGAGAAAATTATAGCGGATGATTACCTTCGTGAAATAATTATAGCAATAATTGATTATAGGTGGTAAAATATTAATTGTATATGTATATTTTTCAAGGATCTTAAATATAATATAGACAAGGTATCTAACAATAAATAATAAGATACATAACTACATATCTATAATTTATAGATAAGTAAAGCTAAAAATATATATGTAAGTAAAGTGGTCTAATTATAATTAATGTATAAAAGAAGATAACCTAACCTAACAATATTAGTTATAACTTTTTTGAAAAACAATGATGACACAAAATATAGGTAACATCACTATAGCATATGAGTGATAAGAAATTTTAAAGAAAAAGTGTTTTTAACTTACGTTAACGCGTTGCGGTGTACTCAAAGCATACATAATAGCTTCAGCAATGTCAATAGATTTCAACATTTTAAATCCTTCCAATTTGCTGAGCTCCTGAGTCATTTCGGTTTCTACTCCACCCGGACTGATGCTCTGAAATTAAAACGATTTATTATTTTTAATAAAAGGTTAGGTTAGGTTATTTTGCAATTTATAAATTTTACTGTGGTAGGTTAATCGTTTTTCATTTTTAATGTGTAATTTTTAACTTTATAATTTTTAGTTTTATTTTAATATCATTTAGAAACGAAAGTTATGTAAGTTACACCAGAATTCAGCATAATTATTTAATACCTATGCTATTATCTGTTATAAAGGACATAGGTATATACTATATTATGATTTCAGTTTATTTTAAGATAAATATAACATATAAATCATATTTACTTTTATATATACTAAGCAGTAAGCACTTAAAAACAAATAATGCATTCTAAAAACTTAAATAAAACTTACTGTTTTATTTTAAATAGAAAACCCGTGGTAGATAAAACATGCAAGGTAATACTCTTTGAGCGTATTTAATTTCATAATTGTACACATGATTAATTTTTAATTATATTAAAAATGAAAACATCTAAAACCTAAAATAACAATAAACTTTAAACATCGACCATACACAAATAATAATCAACTTTATATTATTATATCATATAACCTAGTGATCAATAATAAAGATTTAAATTGATTATCACAGCACGGAGGGTTAATAACTAATGAAAGGCAGTAAACACAACATTGGGTATACTTATATCGAATTATATAGGTACATTAACCTAAAAACTAATTAATTACCGTGACTCTGACGGGTAAATTTTTCATGCCCATCAATTCTCTTAAACTCTCTGTAATTATAGTAACAGTATGTTTGGTAGCGCTGTAAATTGCAATATCCTTCATAAATGGAAATTGGTAATGACCTCCAACACTGCAACATAGTTAATTATATCACGTTGATAATTAATCAGTTATTCAGTTATTGTTATAGTAATTGTTAGCAATTGTTATTGATTTAGAAATAAATCACAATTTGTATCATTATATCATAATTGGAGTTATTTGATAAAAATTCAGTTAATATAGTTATATCTATATCCAATAATTAAACTATAAAAACTAATATCACCTGAGTACTAAATGGCTGAATCATTATTGGCGCAAATGTGGGGGGCTTGGGGGGACTTAGTCCCCCCAAATAGTTCAAAATCTAGTAATTATTACCAATTTTTATATTCTATGGTAGTAAGCAATATGGCCTATGGGGAGGGGGGTTTGAGTCCCCCAAAAAATGTAGTCAATTTGCGTCTATATGAATCATAATATAATATCCATATTTATTTTTCATTAAAATATATTATAAAGTACACTCACATGCATCCAATTTCATTAAACTAAGATTTATAAAGTTACCTGTTAATATTTATTATGTGACCCTCTTTGATTTGTATTTCCTCCATGATTTTTATGGCTTCTCTGCTGCAAATGTTTAGACTCATGACATTAGTGTCAAACATTTGTTTCCAATCATTTGTGTTTCCTGGAAGTATAAAAGTTAAAAAAAGATTTTAATGCCACGGTAATGTATTTGGTTTATTATTATATTGATACTGCGTATAACTGATACTTCTCAAAATTTTATTATTTGTATTCAAATATAAAATTACTTGTAACTAAATTTAAAAACTATTGTGAATTACAACTATATAGTTAATACTTTGGGGAATGGTAAACTCCTACAAATGTAGTGTAATCTCCTACAAAAGATAGTGTTAACTCCTACAAAAGATAGTGTTAACTCCTACAAAAGATAGTGTTAACTCCTACAAAAGATAGTGTTAACTCCTACAAAAAATTAATACCGCTCGTATTGCTGTAAAAAATAACAGTCTTGCAATATATTAACACATACCTAATATAAAAATGATTTGAAAAATATAGTTATAATAATATAATAAATTATAATAATAGTATAATACATTTTTAAAATATAATAAAAGTGTTAATAAAATAATAGTCATAATCATTTAATCCAAAAACAAAATATGTTTAAATTCAATAAAACAATACTATTAGTTAATATAATTTTTTTTGAAAAATATAATAAAAATTTTAATAATACAATATTCATAATTATTTAATCCTACAACAAAAATTGTTTGAAAAATATAATAAGACAATAGTCAAAATCACATACGTTTAAAATAATAATTTTTGAAAAAAAATGATAAAAAATTCAATGAAACAATACGAAGTCATAATCATTTACGTATATTTTTATGGCATACTTTGGAGATAAACTCTAAACGTGAAATTTCTCCTCGTATATATTTATCTTTTTGATGAAGTATAAATTGATATTTAGAAATAGTTTTTGTCTGTCTGCGTTGTGTTGTATGACTGCTTCTAATTTTAATGTATGTTTCGGTCTGAATATCTTTCAAAACTTTCACGAATAAATGGAGGTTTGGATGATGATGATAAAAACTACTATTAAATCTTGAATGAAATGATTCACATGCATTTGTAGTATCATTCGAAGACCACAATTTTGGAGGAAATAATGAAAACGAAAAAATATAATTTTCAGATAAATAGTCGCAATATTGTTGGACTTTATCGTCAGATGGCATATTTTCTAACAAATCAAATACAAAGCAATCTTCAATATCCTTAGCGTCTTGCAATAATGGTAAACCGAATGTGAGAACTAAAAATTTTCCAATTTCAGATTCACCATTATTGTAATCATTCGTTAGGCCTAATTGCTGGATTTTTCTGTACCAATTTTGGCACAAATGAAAATTACAACCATGAATTTGCACTGTTGGCCAAATATTTCTAATTGCATTATGAATAGCAATTTCAAAGTCCACCACAACTGTAACTGGTTGAAACCGTAAATTATTTTCCAAGCAAATTTCGATAGTTTTTAAAAATAATGTACTGTATGTATGGCTATTTTTGTCAGGAAGCAAAGCAAAGACTAATGGTATATAATTTTGATTCTTAAAACCATGAATAGTGAATAACTGCAAAAAATATTTTGTACAATAATTGAAAGTACCGTCTAAAAAAATTTTTTCGTTTGAACAAAGAAATTTTAAATTTTCTATACAAGAAAATATAATAATATGGCTATCTTGATCATTTAATAAAACAAATTGTTCAGAACGGTTTGTTTGTATATCCATTACATTTAAAGTATCGTGAACTTCTTCAATACTTTTAGGCAAAGGTGGCAAAATAGATTTACGTGCATTATACACATTTCGTCTAATATAATTGAGATCAGTTGTATTTAAATTATTTTCGTTATTAAAATGTTTGATTTCAGTTAAAATAAACTTGGAAGGTTTTTCTACAATATTGTCTTCACTTACTTTCCTTTTCAGTGAATTATTGACTTCTTGGCGATTCAATGTAGTATCATTATCATGATTGTGAATTAGAACTACATGTTTTTCAATAACTTCATCCTCTGTATTATTTGTGTAAATTTTACTTTGACACTTATTATTAATACAACGCCAAGTTTTTTGGCCACTTTTTGCAGTATAATGTAAAAAAAATTTATATTTATCAACTATTAATAACTTTTTACCATTCTGACTATACATGAATTCCATTGCAATTTGTAATAATGTACGACTATAAGAGTGACTAACAAAACGGTGAAAGACGCAAAAGATTCACTAGACTAAACTCAAACAATACACAGTTGACAGTTATATAGTTACGAGCGGACTACGATATCGGCAATAAACGTAATAATTTGTTCGGAAATTTCCGATACGGACGAGATTATCATGTTTTATCGTTATTCGACAATATTCGATGCCATATCGCTGATCTATTTATAACATTTTGTACTGCAAGTGTCGATATGAACGTATAGTATAGTATATAATATGGACATAATCTAACCTTCGAGAATCATCATACAGCGTATAAACAAGCTCTATTCAAGCGTTTGTTTATTAAATAATATATATTTATTATTTTCAAGTTATGATAATTTTGAGCTTTTTGAGCTTTTCAACTTCAAAATTGTGAATTTAAGTAATATTACCCTATTTTTTAAAGGGAAAAATTTCTATGTAGGAGATTACAATATCTTTGATTTTCAGGTAAAAATTTTAAAAGGTTATTAGTGTAGGAGTTTACATTTAATGATGATTCAGGTAAAAAGGTTATTCTTGTAGGAGTTTACATTTGGCCAATACTTTAAGGATACCAAATATTGTAATTTATTATTAAAGCCATAATAATTCATATAAATTAATTTTATTATTATTTAAAAATATTTTTATAAATATCCACAATAATGATTGATAAATTAGTGTAGATATATAATTACGCAAAGTGCTGGTTTGAATGGTTACTTCTAAATATTAAACGTTATTATTACACGTGTAGATGGTTCAGATTAATCCATTTAAATCACTTAATTTTAATATTTTAGTGAATTTACCTATTTTCAACATTTAAAGATAATAATGTTATTAGTTGGATTTTATGTAAGCAATATAATTTAATTTCAACGTTATATAAGCATTTTGAATGTTACAAAAAATAATAATGAACTCGTTATTCGTAACTCGTTTGTGGACTGCGGGGTTTATAATATATTATAAAATCACGCAATGGTTAAATTTTAAATAAAAAAAAAATCTATGTGACGATTGACTAAATTGAATTTTTATTTTTTTATTATTGTTGCAGAATATGACGATGATGATAAAACAATTCTTTCAGTTCACGAAAACCCAATATAACCAATCTAAAAAATTACAATCTCCCCATTCTCGTTCGGAAACTTGGACGCGTAAATTGGAATGTCAAAATAAACGTAAGTAAATCCTGCCATATCGTTTTTACCCTTAAACACCAAATTCGTCCTCAAATTACGTCGAACAACATCACAATTCCAACCTAACCTCATCAAACACAAATGGCCTCAGAACACACGCTTTGACAAAAAAACTAAATTTTGCCCACCATACTCATAACACCAAACTTAAGTTAAACTCTCGTCTTCATACCCGTACATATTTTTGCAACACAAAATCAAAACTTACACAAGACACTAAACTAAACTTATACAAAACCCTCCTTAAATCTATTTGGATGTACTGCGTCTAAATATGGGGCTCTGCAAAAATATCAAATCTAAAAAAAAAATACAAATAACCTAAAACAAAATATTTCGCTAAAGATCCATCTTTGTTTTCAATCAAACTCTACACTTGGGTCTAAAAATGAACACAGTGCTTCAAACCACCATAAAATCCTACTTTCGATACCACAACTTTCTCTTATGACCATCCAAATATCCTAGCAAAAAATCTTATTGAACCAATGCCCGGCAACCCTACCAAAAGGTTAAAACTAAAGTGGTGTCGCGACCTACTTCTCTAATTTAACCTTATAACCCACACTAGGGAGTGTCACCAGCGGGTATATTAAAAATAACAAGAGAAAAATTGATTATTCAAAAGTCAAAACTTAAAATATGGTGTGTTGTACGTCTGTTAAACAGAGACAACACGAATGCAAATCTTGTAGATATAATCAATTTTAATCATACATTCAGACAACAAAATATAAAAAAGTGTATTCAAATTTAACAATCTATTTAACTTTTGATCGTATAATTAGAACATATTATTTAAATTAAATATTATTTATTAATGTACCTATACAAAAATAGTTTAGTCACACAGAAATTAACTAAGTAAATGTATTGTAGTTGTATTATCCGTGTCGTGATTTCAATATTTTCACCCAAAGGTCGTAGGTAGGTACATCATAATCCATAAGTGCATAACAAATTATACATAACATTAACAGTTGGATTAATTATATTTAAATACAGTGATACACACGTTCTTAACATTATTTTAGATTCTGAGTGAAACGATGAATGTATTGATTTTACAATGATATGTGTTTTTTTATTTTTTTATTTTTTTTGTATCTGTGTACACGATAAGTAGTCGAAATAATGCTTCGATTTTCGACTTCAGTATCTTGTTCGATTGGAAAGTGAATATCGTTGGTGCATTGGGGAGGTCAAAATTTAAATTTCCCAGTAGTTTTCACAAGCGCCGGGAAAAACAACATAAAAATTAAGGAAAAAACGGGAATTTTTACGTAAAATTGATTTTCCAAAAAATCGATTTTGGTTATTGGTGTAACTCTAAAACAAATGAACGTATATACATGAAATTTTCACTGGTTGTTTATATTTGCATTTTCTATACACGATAACATTTTCAAAATATTTTGATTTATTTTGAACTGTTTAGGGACATTTTCATTTTCCATTTTTTTTTAGTTTTTTTTCTAAAAATTTCAATAAAATTTTATTTGTTGGTTGCGAAAGCTTGAAAATTTAATAGAAGGCTCCTAATATGTTGTTTCAAAGGCAGATGAAAAATATTAAAAATCCTTAGTCACAATTTTTTTTTATAAGCATTTAAAGTTCAAAAATTGACAAAATATGGAAAAATCACGAAAATTAGCAAATTATTTTGAGTTAAGAATTCGTAAAAATTTTCTTTTTAAATCTAAGATTTGAAAATCTAATACAAGATTACTCATAAGATTGTCTACCTTTATCAATAAAAAAATTTCTACCGGAAAGTCAAATTAAATTTTTATGAGCGTTTGAAATTCAAATTTTTACAACATTGGATGTTCACTCGATTTCTCATGTAGCGATTTCCTTATTTTGTTGTAATTCAAAAACGAATAACTGTAGATACATGAAAATTTCACTGAATGTTTATATAAGAATTTCCTATACACCATACAATTTTGAAAATATTTTGACACTTTTTGAGCCGTTTACGGACATTTTCAGTTTTCAATTTTTTTAGTTTTTTTTTTCTATAAATATCAATTAAGTTTTATCTGTTGGGTCAAAAAGTGTAAAAATTTAATACAAGGCTCCTGATATATTGTTACAATATCAGTTGAAAAATATTAAAAATACATATGCACAATTTTTTTTTATAAGCATTTTAACATCGAATTTTGATAGAATTTTTCAAAATCTCGAAAATTATTAATCATCGTAATTAATAAATTATAAAATGTTCAGTTTTTATAGCTAAGGATTGAAAATTTAAAACAAGATTTCACGTAAGTAGTTAATTCTCTTACCGAAAAATCTAAAAAATATACAATCACAGTTTACTTTTATAGTCATTTTATGTTCAAATTTGGACGAAATTACATATTAAAAAACCTAGTTATTTTGTTGTGATTATATAATATTATTCGTGGGTACCTACTTGAAACTTCTAAAGTGTACTATTATATATATATGATAGTATCAGGGTTTGTTGTTGATGTTGATGTATAACGTGTTATAAGTACCTAATGGATATTGTGATAATGTGATATGATTAATTTGGAATTTATTATAGGTCAATTTTTTTTTTAATACCATAGATATGTATATAATTTGTATTAAACCTAGACTGACATACCGTCTTCGCTCAGAATCGTTTTTCTTATACAATGATATTGTATCATTGAATTCAAATTTAATAGCATCCATTATACAGTGACCCACTTGTAACCTACTGTACAGCAGAGCGACATCCACTTACCCACCTTTTTATATATTTCATTGGATATTATTATACATACGCTATACGTAATACATTCAGGTAATTATAGTGTTAATTCAATTTACCTAATAAATCACTTTGCTTCAAAACACCTGCATTGTTAACTAGTACATCAACCGATTTCAATGTATTCTTCACCCAATCGAAAGCTTTCATAATGTTTTCTTCCGAACACAAATCAACTTTAACGTAATAAAATTTACCCAGTTTTCCTTTTAATTCTTTTTCTAACACCTGAAAAAAAAAATATTGTATTATAAAAGTTAATTTTAAAATTCGAAGACGTCGTCACTCTGTTGTATATTAAGAGCGAGTGTAACTTTTCATTGAGTAAGATGTAAGGTACTATTATACTAGGGAATTGTTAAATTGTAATTCTCTGATAAATCATTGTCTACGGAGTATCAATAAATATGTAATTTATAAATTTATATACTACCTACTATTAGAAACATATTTTTCTATAGGTAATATTCTATGGTTTGGTATAACTAATTTTTAACAAAATGAAATTATACAAATTATATAATAATTATTATAATATTATTCTATACATTATTACTAGCTGTCATTAACTTATAAGTATAATAATATATTGACCTACTGTAGAACACTAGAACGGTATATATAAGTATACGTAGGTATGCCTGTACACGGAATCGGGAATAGGTTCGTGGTATAAATAGCTTAAAATCAATTATAATACCTTACATGAAAATTGCATTCAGAATAGTAAATAATAAAAATAACATAGTGAAAAGTTTCAAGTCCCTGTCCCTACGGACTACTATTATTAATAACTTTTTTATTAAAAAAATAACTACAAACCGTTTTTTTTTCCAAATTTCGTTTTTAATCAAAAACTAAAAATAATAAAATATAAAACATAATATAATCATTGTAAAACAAGAACATTCATTGGTCAACTCAGAATCTAAAATAATCTTGTCACAAAAAAGTACGACTGCAGTCTCTTCAAAATTGATAAATAAGTTCAACGTCGCAATGTTTCACAAATGTTTCCAAAACCATGGCTTGAGAAATTTTATTGATGAGTCACAAACATATTATAAGATTTAAAGATTAATTTATGTTAAGATTAAAATATCATACTCATAACAATAATAAAATTGAATTTTCTTCCGTGGGACTCCATATCAAATAGGTTGCAAAACACCGATCTACACTTTTCCTATACTCGGATGTAACACGTTTGTTGTTTGTAACAGCTATATTTTATAAAATAATATGAAACCATATTGATAAATTAATTAATAAATACAAATGTTTAGTTAAATATATTGAATTAGCTCTAAAAACCTAACACATTGATTTAATTTACATTTTACAACTACTGAACTCTATATAGCGTACCTGAAGTCTATCTTCTCTTCTAGCGAAACCCACAACAATCATTCCCCTTTCAACCAGTTGTCGACAAGTCTCCTCTCCGATCCCAGAAGAAGCACCCGTCACTACAGCAACTTTTCCATTCCATTTTTCCATTTTTGTTTTAAAATTTGTTTTTTAATATTATAAATACTACACGACCAGTGCTTATCGACGTCCAAACAATAACTGAAAATCTGAAACATCATTCTGAACGGCCGTATTTACTATTTTTATATGCGTGTTGGATAGGCACCTACCTACCAATGTAAAAACATAAGTATAGTAGTAGTAGGGGGTAATAACCGATTAATTACCAGTTGTATTAAAAATTGCCTGACACGCGAAATCCTTCCTCCACAAATCGAAAATAGAATATTCAATATATCCACCTCACTACCTGAGTATTAGTGTTGCTTAATGTTGAAGTCACGTGATGTAAGATATTTATAATATTTAATGACTGATTGAGATAATGACCAACAAAAAACCTATTATTAGTACCTATCAAGGTAGATAGATGACCTTGATAATTTTGAACGTTGTATGTCTACTGTAACCTATAGGTACCTATATAATTATTGTTGATGACGAACATTTGAAAAACTATTTTAATGACAGGAATTATAATTATTGTTGATGATAACATTTATAATTTATATAAGTAGGTATACACCTACGTGACTACGTCATTGACCAAAGTAGAATTGTTACTTGTTAAAAAAAAAGAAATGAAACCAGATGGTATGTAGACATATTGTTGGACATTAAAAATTCTCGCTTCGATCGACACGCACTAGATAAAATATAATATTTGTATTATAAATTTGGAAGCTTTTTAATAATTCATTTCCAAAAAATATCCTGAGCTCGGTATAATATAACCTACTAAATTAAAGTCTCAAACATTTCAGTGATTTTTAAAACTAAAAAGGGAGTGGCACAGTGATAACGACGAGCCGAAGTTATTTTATGTGAAATTAGCCCTTAAAATTGGTCCAATTTTTACATATATTTGTTAGTAAATATAGGTAAATATATAAATATGTTCAATCACATGTTCAATCAATCAATGTTAATGACAAATCTGGTTATCAGTGACCCACTTGTAACCTACTGTACAGCAGAGCGACACCCACTTGCCCACCTTTTTTTGTATGTATTTGAAAAAAAATTAATATTCTCAATTAAAACATAGATAATATTATAATGACATAATATAGGTATAATAATATTCATTCAAAATATTATAATGCTTATTTTTTTGAATATCTATGATATTATATATTTATATTCAAACAATTAAACAAAGAAATACTTAGGCAGGTATTTTTTTTAAAGGTACTTGAATTGTGTATATCTACTTCAGGCACGGATGTGTATTAATTTTTAACCAAAGAATTATGTACAGTGCTTATCACCAAAACCTGTATTGTATTTCTTGTACTGATCTTATGATGATTTCGGTAGCCTGTAAAAGTTTAAAATTAAACGTCAAAACGTATTTATTTGACGACTACGACAAATTCAAAAAAAATGAGTAGCAACCAAAATTAATTTGTTCAGTTCCATTTTACTGCCATAGCAACTTACGCTAGTCAACAAACCAGTTATTTTAGAATCGAAAATATAATATACATCATTTTATCATCAATTTTCCGTTTTAAACGCGTATAATATATTTGTTGTATAATATATTATATTGTATACACAACGATGTTCGACTTCCGAGTATTTAATAATATCTTGTCACTCTTGATAAACCGTCAGCAGTTCGCGCGACCGGTTGAGGCAAGTTTTTCTCCCATAATCGATATTACGATGAAGATGAACAAGATCCAAAAGGATGACTTACAACCATTGAAAGAGCTGACATCACGCGTTGCTAGCACATTAAAGAAGATCAGTAATTTGGAAACTAGAAGGCACAGGGCGGCAGTTACTGCGCGATTGGTGAATTCGGATTTGATGGAGAATAGACGTTTGTTGATGCATCTGAGGAACTATTCGCCGGTTTCCACCTCCACAGAGACATTTGTTGAAAAGAAACCATGCCGCGTCAGGTATATCGTGCTACGGTCTTACGGATATAATCATAGACCTATAAACTATAAAGCTTCCCACACTACCCTGCCCTGGTTAATCCAGACAACAAATGTAACTGAGAGAGAAAACATAACATATGAGCATATGAGATAGAAAAAATATGTTTTTGGCTATGTATTGGCACACTGTAAAGGCCCAACTCTTTCTCTCTTAAGAATCCCGTCTGGTGATTTATCTCTTTATAGTTTGTTTATGTGCTGTCTATTAATTTATAGTTCTACTAGCAGACCCGGCGAACTCCGTTTCGCCACCAGATTCGTTTTATGTTTTTTTTCGTTTGGTGATTAAAATATAAAGAAAAAAAATTTTTTTTGTTATATATTTGAAAAGGAAAATATTTATTTCATTTCACAACAGTAATAAATTCATTTCAATTACCTACTAAAATGAAGTGTTATTTAATTGTTTCATTGTAGTGCTCTTTGGTAAACCACATTTTTTGTTTTTTGGTTTGACGTTAACACAAACAAAGCGGATGGTTTCCCAACTCGTGAACACGCAACGTATAACTGTCCATGTGAAAAACAATGATTTTCCAAATTTATCCCGCAAACACTAAGCGATTGGCCTTGCGACTTATTAATTGTCATTGCGAACGCAAGGCGAACTGGGAATTGCAATCGTTTGAAGTCAAACGGAAGATCAGTCGGAATCATTGGTATTCGAGGAATACATACATTTTCACCTGCGTACCTTCCGTTAATAATGGAAAATTCGGCATAAGTCTCTTTACCGAAAGTCGAGTACCGTTGCAAAGTCGCGGTGGATTCAAATTACGCAGTATCAAAATAACTGTACCAACTTTCAGTTGCAAGTTATGTGGTGGAAATCCTGGTATCTCCAGAGAGTTCAAAAACTCCGTTGGATAATTTACTACATCATCGGGATTTGTTATTGAATCAACGGATTTGTATGTCACCAAATCGCCAGCAATTTTTGATTGAATGGTGAAATTCAGTGCGTGGACATCATTATTCTTTGCTGCAAGAATTGCTCGTTGACTTAACCAAGCATAATTCTTATAATTCTCACTAATGTTTGGGAAAACATTTTCAATAAGAACTAATTGAGTGTCTACAAATCGGCAAAAGTCGTTGGTAAGAGTAATTAATCCAGATGTCGCATCAACTGGGACTTTTCCATTTCCAAGATCTAACAATTGTTTGGAAAATTGTGCAGCACTTTGATCATTTTGAAGTTGAACTCTCATATTAGTGGTTAGCGATAATGTTTTTACGTTATTCCATAAAGGTGATGCCTTTAGGCAAGCATTCAATTCATCTGCAGGCGTTCCACGGGGAACTACTGGCAACGTCTGCCTGAAATCGCCTGCCAACAATATCATCAAGCCGCCAAAGATGTTGTTATTTCTCCGAAGATCCTTCAGTGTGAAGTTAAGTGCTTCAAGTGATTTCTTATGTGCCATTGTGCACTCATCCCAAACAATGAGCTTGCATTGCATTAACAATTTTCCCATTGCACTGGATCGGGAAATATTGCACGTTGGAGTATCAATTGTGTTTAAATTGAGTGGCAACTTAAGCGCAGAATGTGCAGTACGACCGCCATCTAGAAGAGTCGCCGCAATTCCAGATGATGCTAACGCCAAAGCTATGTCACATCTTGATCGAATAGTGGCCAAAATCAATGAAATGACAAATGTTTTCCCTGTTCCTCCAGGTGCATCCAGGAAGAATAGACCACCGGTATTATTGTCCACCGCTTGCATTAATGTTTTGTATACTTGTTTTTGCTGTTCATTCAGCAACGGAACATTATTTCTAACGAATTCCTGCAATGTATCAACATTGTATATTGCACCGCACGTTCAGCTGATCCACCATCGACGAAATGAAATATATTTGCAGAAATTGATGTGGTTCATCTGGTGTGGTTGGCACCATTGAACCATGCAAATGATATATTTGACCTTGTATCTGTAATTGCAAATAATCATTAAAATTTGTTCATGAATACCTTTTAAATCGTGTGTTTGTGTAGTGTGTGGTGTATATGAAGTTGTTATGTGTTGCAATTATGTGTTGGTTATGTGTGTTGTATCTTTTACCTTGCAAGTCGGCATGAAGCCGCCTTCTCGAATGATATTAGCTCCAAAGGAAGTCATGCGAAAGCAGTTATTGTATTCAAGGATGTGTTGAAGAAAATGGCTGGAATCGGGATCACTTCCATCAAACAATGTTTTCAGTGGATGTGGTGGTGTAAGTAATGGATCCAGTTTGACTTTTCCACTTGCGCAGCACAATCCAACCGTTTCTCTTTTGAACTTTAACGCATTGCAATATCGGCATATAGTCGTCATTCGTCCAATATCAAAATTTTCATCATCACTGTAGTTCGCAGTGGGATCATATTGGAATGCCAAGCGATTGTATGATGCCAATGATCTTCGTGTGCTCACGCGATGTCTCAATCGGTCATTTTCTCTTATTATATTTTGTCTTTCTTCTCTTAAGTTCCTTGAATATACTTGTTGCTGGCTTGCATGTCTTGTGCGGCGGCCGATGTTCGCACGTCGTTCTCTAGGCATTTTGGACTATGGACAGAGTGTTGAATTTAACTTCAAATGCACGATACACATAATTTACATAATTTATTTTAGCTTAAATGAAATTAACTGAGCATAGAATAATGTAAACAACTATCCGTCAACTATATAATAAACAACTATCCGTCAAACACTTTATCACGCACCGTTGCTATTGGTTTGAAGTACATGCTATGTATAATAGATGGCGCTGTATGTGAAAAACGATTTCCCCACTTTTCTGTTGAATTTTTCCTGAATTTTCCAGAATTTTCTTTGCTATAAACCTCATGGAGCCCAAGACCTTTCCAACGAATGCAAAACCGTGGAAATCGGTTCGTGCGTTCTCGAGTTATAGCGTCAGGGAGGAAAACCGGACTTATTTTTATATAATAGATGATAATAATTATTACGCAAAAAGTGTTGATCGTAGTCTACACACTGTAAGGATATATATTTTATATGTAGGTGGCAGGTAAGGCCAATTCATTTGAAAATTATGTAGGTACTTATAATCATTTTGAGAATAACTTTTTCAGAATATTTTGCTAATCATTTCCTAGTCTGGTATAAAAAAGGACAGAAGCTCAGAACCTTTTACCGTTGAAAATAAAGTCCATCATACAGAATTTGTTGTTTGATTGGCAAACTGCGTAAAGTTAACACCTCGAACTAAACCATATTTTTAACATAATCAGCCAAAATCTAAAAAAAAAAATTAGTTTCCAATATTTATAATTATTTTCAAAATATTTATATCATCTTAAAATCTATAACAGTATAATTCAAATGCTGAGGGGGGGGGGGAGAAGGACTATAATCTGGTCCTCCGATTTTATAATTTCTATATTGGGCTAGGAAATGATTTGCAAAATGTTAGTATTATTTTTAAGTCATTATCTACGTATGAGGGGGGAGGGTAGTGTGAATCTGGCCTCCCAATCTTACTATTTTCTACCAGACTTACAGATAATTTGCAACTTCTGAAAACTAATTTGCAAATATTTATAAAATGACCACGTAATTTTCAAAAAATATTGGTTTATAAGGGCTGCCAAATTTACGCACGTTATATTTATGGCTTAAGATGACGATATATCCTGCATGCATCACATTTACCTATTATCATATTTAAATTATATCGAATAATATATATTGATTATTATAGCATTGTTATTTTATCGGTATTTAAAATGTATAATATTTATTATTATTTAATAGTAATATGCTAAAATTACACAAAATACATTTATTATGTTGAACCCAAATTTGCCATATTGTACTTTTTTAAGATTAAGAAGAACAAAAGGGTGTTACACCATTTTAAATTAACTTGGTTCAATCACATGTTCAATTTGTGGTTAAACCCTATGGGCATGGGTGCTTATAGTTAAGTATTCCGTTCCGGAAAACTAATTTTAAACATTAATACACAACGTTTTTAAACACTAAAAATGATAATGTGAAACTTATTGGTGTGTTTATAAATTTATAGGTTTGTAATACCTTCAGTGACATGGGAAGAACAGACGATAAACGAGATTTGGATGTACCCAAAAATGATAGTATCGTATATAAAAAATATGTTTGTAATTGTAAAATGCATTATGAAACATATAGCCCTCTACCCCAAAATGTTAATATCATTAAAAAATTATCTTTATAGTCTATGATTGTCGCTCAAAAAGTCTTACATTATATTTAAAATATTTAAAAATTTACTATAAGAATTAACACTTTTCAGCTATCTATCTGTGTTAGTACGTATTTAATGTATAAAGTGTAAAGTTCATCAGCCCCCCCCACGCCAAAAAAAAATCCCGGCTTCAATTATTCAATCATTACGAGTGGCTATACCATGACACTCGAACCGGATCGTCAAGGCGTCTCTCTCGTCCTCACGACTCCGACCCGGATAGACCGACACACGTCCCCGCGAGTTAAGAACAACTTCTTTTTTTTTTTTTTTTGTGGATACCGTTACTCAATCGCATATTGAATGTTCTTTGTGTTTTTCTTTTGACTTTAACAATAAAAGTTAGTCACACCCGTGCGCCGTTTTGTTGTCTTTCTTTCGTTTTACCGTTATTAAGGTTTTACACCGACCGACTCACCGTCGATCACCACCAGCATATCATCATCCACGCGGCTCAATATAAGTCCGCGTCAACCAATTAAGTTAATTTTGAATTTTCGTTTTTATCTAGAATATAATTTAGTCTATAACGGTTCGTCAATTTAAAATTCGTAGAATATTAGAAAATATTGTTGAAAAAAAAAAGAAGATATTTTTGTAATAATTTTTTTTTTTATTAACTTAACTTATTAATTGAAGTTAAGTTAACACAATTTGTTAACTTAACTTTAAACTTAATTGATGTATTAAAAATTTATATTAACTAAACTTTTAATTTAATTGAACAAAAAATATTTAACTAAACTTAACTGAGTTAAAATAACTCCAAATCCAAAGTTTTCCAAATCCAACATATATTTTTGCGGCCATATTGCGCAATATAACTGGATTTTTTAAATGTTTCATAATACA